CTCATCTCTCCGTTCGTTTATCCGTTTTATAACCTTCCCTCCGCTTGGACTTCATCCTCGTCTCCCACCGTTTGCTTCCCTTTAATTTATAATCTCCGAGCAGACCTCTGCCATCTGGTACGGAGTGATGTCACCAGCTGTACCAGGAAGTGCACTGCAATTATCGACGGCTGGTGGTTTCAGGTCAGCAGTGCACGGCGGCCTCGCGGTGGTGCGTTCAGGAACTTTCATGCAGTCCAGTTTGAGAAAAGCAAAGAGAGTTTACGAGATTCTTCTTGACGATAAAACGCAAGATAGCGCCACGTCGTCCCATAATGGAGCGATTACAGTGTGTTATATTTCTGTGAGAGTGTTGACAGTGTGTTATACTCTGATGTATCTCCAGTTGGCCCACTGTGTGATCTCCCTCACCTCTCCCTCCTGTTATGTTCATCAGAGTTTACATCAGACCAAAAGAGTGTGTGTGTGTCTTTATCACAACCATGTTTACAGCCTGGACCAGGATTAAAGGCCACAGTGGGAGGAATTATACTCTGTGTGTGTGTGTGTGTACTTTCCTTGTGTGTGTGTGTGTGTGTGTGTGTGTGTGTGTGTGCGTGTGTTGGAGTGAGACAGGCAGGGCGTGTGTTAACAGTCATGGTGAGCGAAGTGTGACGTTTGGCGAGCCATGCATCTGTTTGCCTTATTGTCCAACGTCCAGACTAAATGGCAGGAAGTAATAAAGGGAAAGACCAGAGGAAAACAAACACCAGGTTTTTTGGGGGGGTATTTTTTTTTTTTTTTTTTTTAATGGTTTGGGAGGAAAATTAGTCAACTTTGACTGCGAGGTGCATTGTGCTCACGAATGTAAAAGCTATAAAAAAGATATTGTTTGAAAGTGGTACCAGTGTCAGTGTGATGTCAGTACGCTGAAACAAAACTGGAACAAAATCTCAGCCACCAGGTTGGATTCCCCTTGAAATCAATGAAACAAGGTGGTAGAAACACTACTAGTTTTGTCCACAGGGGGCCGCCAGTATCAATACAAAATTTAACGTCCTTGTTGCTGCTTTAAGTTGAGTCTAAAAGTCTAAAAACCACCGCAATTATTGAGCTTCAAAGTTTATTGTTGCCTTTTAAAAACAGAAACTTTACATTCTGAAGAGTCACCCGCTGAGGAAAAAACAACTAACTTTAAGGAATCAAGGAAAGGTTGCGTAACAAATTTAAAGTTTGTAGTCTAAGTCTTAATAATTAGATATAATTAGAGAATAAATAGAGTATAAATAAAACAATAGTTATTTATATACACGTAGACACACTGGAAATAATTCTGCTACAACAATTCAGTTCTCCTGAACAACTTTGAAACACTTGTAGACTACAAAATTATAAAGTTAGATAAAGAATCTGATCAAAATATGAGTGAACAAGAATCAGAGTAAATATTTGATGTCAGTATCGAGGCTTTGCAGGTTTTCTCCAGAAGGTCAGTGGTCTAATGAACCGTTTGGTTGGTGTTTCTTTATATTTTGCTTATTGCCGTGGAAAGACTGAATCATAGGGCTGTACCCGATTATCAGTCGAATTTAATTTGGAAGTTCAATACGACGGTTTGACTATTTGTTACTTTATTTCAGTTTAACGCCACACTGAACTCTTATATCAGCACTTCCTCCGGTTTCAGGAAGACGTTAGAAAGTAGTTTGGTTATAAAATCCCAGCTCACCGCCGAGCGTCTCTCCTGCCAGGCTGCTGCAGTGCTGTCGGGCCAAGAGTCAGTCACAGTGGACGACTGAAGTAGAGGTCGGATCCCCGCTACCCGCCATCATGCTGCCCTCCTTTTACTGTCTCTCTTTTCTGCTTCCATCACAGTTAGTTTTATGGTTTGTGGTCATTTCGAGACTGTTTAACCAGATGCATCATCAGTGACCTGTGGAATGTGACACGCCCACTTTGGTTTCCAAGGAAAACCTGATATTTATTGCTCCCAACTGGGAACAAACTTTTCAGGTTGTGAACCAATTTATTTTTGGTTAAAATAATAGACGCTAGTTTCCTGTAACAGCTGCTCACTGTAGTTTTTAAAAATTACTGCAACAGGGAGATTTGTTGGGGACTATTTTCAGGGGTGGATGAATCCACATTTGGCGCTCTAGTATTTGGGGCAGCAGGACGGTGTATGTAGGCTTGAGTTAAAATAAACTACAGTGTGTGTGTTCACTTTAATGAAGGAACACCTCAACCAGAGCAACAGTGTGGCTCATTGATGTGTTTTTAAGTCGTTTTTGGAAACAATAGAGCTCTATGGCACAGAGCAGGAAGATATATCAGGCTCTGATACACAGATAATACTTGTTCGGATCAGTTCACTGTTGGTTTTGCTTGTTTTTTTTTAATTTATTGGGATTTTGTTGATAATAAGAAAAATACAGAACTTTGTCAGACGTATCCTTTAATTCAGGAGGCAGTTATCGTGCTGTGCGACAGGAATGCCTTGGAATGATTTTTTCCTCTAAAAACAGAAAAGAGAAATAAAAGAGCAGGTCATCCGTGGGTAAGAGCTCTGAACCTCCCTCCCTATAAAGTACCGACACATTTCCATCTGAGAATAATGGACCTCTCTCTTAATCTCATGCCAAACGTGCTCCCTGTCATCTCCACATGCAGGAGGCTCAGATAGGAACCAGATTTCTCCTCTTGGCTGTTTGACTGTGAGGATTATATACAACATGCTGAGGGCGGCTCACTCTGGCCCGATAAAGACCAGCAGACCAGGATTGGCCTTTTCCTCTGTGTCCCCCTACCTGTTGTCCTAACGGGAGGTTTTGATATGATATTTGATATATGTTTTTTTTTATTCAGTTGAGGTGGAAAAAAGCGTGTGTGTGTGTGTGTGCGTGTGTGTGTGTGTGTGTGTGTGTGTGTGTGCGTGTGCGTGTGTGTGTATCTGTGCGTGCGTGTTATAGTAGGCCTGTGTTTGAATGCCAGAGCATCTATGAGTGTATGTTTATGTGTGTTTGCACAAGACATCTGCTATGTCAATAAGCCGGCGTGGTTTTCTTTGTGGGTGTGTCGACTGCTGCAAGTGTCAAAGTAAGAGTCTAGAGTTTACATCATACGCTGTGGTCAGTTCGCCTTGACTGCGTCGCTCTGTTAACCCTTCTGCTGCAACATGTGAGCGTTCAACAACCGTTCATTTGTGCACAGATTGTTTATTAGATGTAGAAATAAGTGTCGATTTTAGAGGTCCAGTGTGTAACATTTAGGAGGATCTATTGTTAGAAGTGTAATATAATGTTCATAAGTATGTTTTCATTAGTGTATAATCCCCTGAAAATAAGAATCAGTGTGTTTTACGTTACGTTATTCTAAGGCTTAGAATGAGCTGTTTTTATCTACACGCAGTCCGTGGACAAACCAAACTGTCTTTCTTGCACATTTTGCAGCCACTGTAGTTTCTCCTGAACACCTCACAGCCCGTTCTCCTTCCCAGGTTGTCCAATACAGACGCGAGCAGTGTTCAGTTAGTTGCAATCTGCAACTTCACCGCTAGATGTCACTAAATCCTCCACACTGTTAACCCTCAGTAAGAAGAAAACCAAAATGATGAATGCTGAGTTTTTGGTGGAAATACTTGTGTTAAAGGATTTAGTGACATCTATCGCTCCGCTTCCAAGAATGTAGGAGAAACTACGGTGGCTGTGAAACTTGTGGAAAATATGAAAGACCCTATCTAGAGCCAGTGTTTGGTTTGTCCGTTCTGGGCTACTGTAGAAACATGGTGGTTCAACAAGTTGACCTCTGTAGATAAAAACAGCTCATTCTAAGGTAACAAAACCTTTACAGGTATTATTTACAGGTGATTATAGACTAATGAAAACAAACCTATAAACTGATGAATTATAAGTCTAATATAATCTATAATAATCTAGTACTTCGGACAAATATCCCTGAACAAACTTTAACATCTCTTAATCTTCCTGTAGTCTGTATACTTATATAATAATTGTAGTTCCTTACTATCTGATTTCTATCATTTCCCTCAAATTGCAGCTGTTTTTGTACCATCTGGATGGTTTCCACCGACGGAAAGTTAGGCTGTCAGAGAGTTTATAAATCAGCCCTCCTCTCCTCGAGGTGACACTGACAGAGTTCAGTGAGCTCGGATGACTGATGACTGACAAAAACAAATATATATATCTACTCTTATGATGGCTGGGTGGGTTCTGGGCTCTGATTGGATCACTTTTTCAAGTACAATCAGGCAAAACCGTTTCCCATCAGCCCCAGCTGTACTTGTGTGTTTAGTGCTGATTAGCAAATGTTAAAGTAAGATTATGAGCACAGTACATTGTTATTGTGACTGTGTTAGCATTTAGCATAGCAGCAAGCATACTCTTCCAGATGTACAGAAGAGTGTTTGAGGAATCTGGAAATACCTTTAAAACTGTGCTACATGTTGTTTAATGACCTTCGAGGTATTTTAAAGATTGTATTTCATTTTCAGAAAAACTGCAACATTTTTGTTACTTGAGTGTAATAAAAATATCTTTATTTATCTTTAATTAGTAAAACTAAGTCATTAAAACCCTAAATCATTAATGTAAGAACAGACTGAAGAGCTTAAGCAAACGTTTTAAGGGCTTCAGTTCTTTTACCACTTAAACTGATTTCTTCCAGCGGAGGTTTAAGGGAACTGTGAGCTTTACGGTTTGGGTTTCTTTCTGTGTTTGTTTGGCTGCTGCTGTTAAAAACCTCTGAAGACTTTTGGAGCATCCTGCCACCGACAGCTGAAATGTTGTCTGTTTTTTTGGACTCACTCACACACACACACACACACACACACACACACACACACACACACACACACTCTGTACATTTGTTAAGCTCTCCGGCAGCAGATTTCTGTGTGTTTGGCAGGGAAACGAACAACGTGCCAAACTGTGATTTATGGTTGTGCATATTTGTCTTCATGCAACACTATCCTTCCTTCCTTCCTTCCTTCCTCCCTCCTCCAGTCGACATACGAGAGATTCGGGAGCTGCGGTTGGGGAAGGGCTCCCGTGATTTCGAGCGCTATCCTGAAGAGGCCCGGAAGCTGGACTCCACCCACTGCTTCATCGTGCTCTACGGGCTGGAGTTTCGCCTCAGGACGCTCAGTGTGGCTGGTCAGTGTGTATATACTCTGTGTGTGTGTGTGTGTGTGTGTGTGTGTGTGTGTGTGTGTGTGTGTGTGTGTGTGTGTGTGTGTGTGTGTGTGTGTGTTTAACAGTTAGTGGGTTTATTTGGAGATTTCAACTCAACTCCGTAAAAGGTCACATACATTCGTTTTTATTTGGTCTAGTTCTGGATGACCAAAACATTTGATCTGTATTTAAGATATTTGCAGTTTCAGGATATATGACCATATTTAAGTTTTCTATTATTTCTAGTTATTCTTAGAATAGAATATGAAAACATTTTAATGTCATCATGAAGACAACTTTTGACTTTTACCCTGCTACAGTTTTACACACACATTTGTGCTTTCTACTCTCTACATTTTCAAAACAAGCTTGTTACTTTATTTTTAATGCATTTTAATGGAATTATCAATAACTATAAATTTTTTTGCATCATTGCAAGCCTTCCCAACATCAAGACTGGTGACCGATGACATTACAGAGTTTATTTCAGAGCCTCTATTTTTTAAGAACTTGTTTACTTTTGTCACCTCTGATTGTCGCATCTCTCAAATTATATGTTTTTCTTTGTAGAAAGTATTTTTTATTGACTCTCACTGCTTTTTAAATGTTTATTTAAAGAACAAATTTGGTTTATTTCACCTCTAATGTCTCAGTAATTAATAACATTGTAGTCTTGGAACACAGTAACCTCTCTGTTCTGGGTCAAGTAAAACAAGCAGTCATATATAATAATATTTTAATAATTATAATTATTATAGACCCACATTGTCCATCCACAGTTTACAGAGTTTGTGGTTTCAGTTTAACCTACAGTGTTTTCCTGGGGAATGAGGGATTATTACCGTTACTTCAGGAGCATTGCCGGTTGCTTTTACCTCCAAATTGTGGTTTATGAGCTGGATAAACTGTTTAATTTCCAACTTCCAACTGATTGAATTTGATGTTTCTGTGTTTCCAGACTTCATTTATTACTTTAATGAGTTCAGTGAAATCATAAAACAACAAAAATAAGACCTAATATCCAATAAAACATTAATTTTAGCTGATTGTTCCGTTAAACTTCCGATATTTTTAGACTTTTCTTCCCAGTGTCTTGTGTTTCTTTGTGTGTTTGCAGCCTTCAGTGAGGAGGAGGTCAACATGTGGATCACTGGTCTCAACTGGCTGATGACTGACACTCAGAGAGCGCCCGCACCGCAGCAGATAGACAGGTACGTATGGATGAGAGAGAGAGAGTGGGTAAGACTTTATCATGAGGGTACGAATCGTATAGTTAATTAATCCTCTACTAATGTCTGATTCATGATGTATCATGAATTCCTGTTGCTTACCAGTATAATTAGTTCACACTTAATGGATCATCGGTTGAGGACTGAATACATAAAAATACATAATGTTAATATTTCTATGAGAATAGACCCAGTGGTATTTGTGACATAGTGGGTGGAACATACGTTTTTAAGTCATAGTGACGTGTTGGGGGTGAGAAGTGTTGTGTAGTAGTAAAAATATTACTTTCCCCAGTAAGTAGTAGTGAAACTAATTACTGATACATTTCACTACAAATACCCCGTCAACAATAATTAGTTTCAACCTTACTTTTGTTGTCCCCTCCGTCTGATTTGAACAATCCAATCACATCCTTTCAGGACTCAGTTTGTGGAGGAAACTAGTTTTCACATTATTCAGTATATTCACATTACTTTGATTTTAACAAACAAAACTAAATTTTTAATCATCATAAGTCTGAATTATGGGGAGAAGGGACACAATTACCAATTTTGTGGGGAGTAGCTGAAAAGTAATATAACTAGTAGTGCAACTAATCCCTGTTGGAAGGAAGTAATAAGTAAAGTAATAAAGAGTAATTAGTAATAAATTATAAACTTGAGTAACTAGAGCAACACTGGTGGTGAGCAACAGCAAATCATAATTCATCCTGCATTAATTAATGTACTGATCATCATGAGTCAATTATTAGTAAAATATTTATTATTATTATTATTATTATTATTATTATTATTATTATTATTATATCTAAATGAATGTGCCCTTATTATAAACTGTTACCTGAAAATGACTTAAAGGAATACTTCAGAGGTAAAAACTCACCCAATGTACGGACTCTTAAGTAGTTTGTAACTTGACCTGGCGCTTTCAGTTTATTGTGTCAGAAAGGTATTGATTAGTTTTATCATTAACACGGATCACTGGAATATTTGTGTGTTTGTAAAGCCGATTGCGGCGCCCTCGGTGTGAGTGATAAAGTGATATCTGCTCACATCAAAAGACGCAGTGACCTGGACGGGAAAGGGAGGTGCTGGTTGGAGGACAGGACAAATATTTGTTTTGGGATGAAAATATTTACTCCAGATGAATGTGCGGAGGCCGCTGTGGCTCCTGCGGTGCGAGCCGGAGGACAGAGAGAGGCTGTGAGGATGTGCAGGGGGAGTTTTGTTCATGTGAGCCGTTTGGAAAATGGTCGGAGGAAATGAAATTGCTAATTTTGTCTGTTTATGACAGTTGTGTAAACTGTTTGGGGAGTAGATTCAGACTGTGTGTTTGACATGGACAGTTCAAACTCTCTCTCTCTACCTACAACTTGTTGCTTAAAGTGCGAAGTGTACGGAAATATCAACTGTGATCATACTACAGATGTTGTGCATCGTACATTTTGTGGATATATTCATGGAAGCTTCAAGCCTGTAGGTTGAATTTCATAATTATATCTTTGACTGTTCAGTCCACTGTCAAACCTCTCTGCCCACAGAGGAAGGAAACTAACTTTACTCATTATTTTCACTTTCTCAGAACAGTTTTCCATTCAGAGAACCGGTTTTTATGTGATTATAGCCGTAGTTTCGTCTACATTTTCAAAATAAACTCATTACTTTATTTTTAATGCATTTGAGGGGAGTTATCGATTTTTATATTATATATTTTTTGCATCATTGCTCGCCTTCCTAACCTCAAGACTGTAGGAAAAATAAAAAAATATACACAGTCAGTCTATATCCCAGCATTGGTTCTGTAAAGAAGAATGTAAATGTAGTAAATTGTGGCAAAGCTTCAGGTACAAGAAAACACTGAATTTGTCCAAAAAGTCTGTATGATTGTTAAGAATGATTAAAAAATACATTATACAGACTTATTATATTATGCAAATTGTATAAAACGTCACATAAACAGGAAATAGTCTGCTCAAAATGTATCCAAATCACTCGTTTTACAGAAATGTGGCCACCGTAGTTTCTCCCTGGTGCTTGGAAGGGGAGGTTGAAGCGAGACTTTTATTCTTGTAATAAATGTTTTCTTCCTGCATCCCTCCCTCTGTAGGTGGCTGAGGAAACAGTTTGAAGTCATGGACAGGAACCACGAGGGCAGGTGGGTGACTCGCCACAAACACGTCAACACCCAATCGTAGCTTTTACAGCGGCCTGTGATGGATGCTTATCAGCCGGTCTGTCGCAGCAGGTGGAGCGTGGAGGCAAAACCAGATCCAGATGTCATCAAAGAGAGCGGTGCACCCCCCCCCCCCGTAGGGGATCTGCCCTGACCTTTAACCTCCACACGCATCTACTACCCGAGAGTCCACGTTGTCGCTCACACATTCTCTCCGTCGTCTTCTCTCTCTCGCTCTCATTAATGCGTCCAGTGCTTCTGTTTGGGTGGAAGCCGCTCCAGGACAAACAGCCTGCCACCGCCTGATAAGCTGCGGGAAGTGATGCGTTGGGCTGGGAGAGGGCAACTTCCTGTCTCCTGTGAAAATAGTAACAGTAACAGTAACAGTAGCTAGACAGAGGGAAGTGGGTGGAGAGACGAATCAGACCTGGCAGTGACGGTGGTCATTGACCTCAAAAGATCCTCCCTGCCTCGGAGCACTGACCTGGATTTTCTCTTTCTCTACCTGCTCCTCTGGCTTCCTTCCTCGCTCCGATACCGGCGGCTGATGGTTGCATGTGTTTTGTTAATCAGTGAGAGTGATTATCCATGTGCTGTTTGTCCTAGGAAAAAAAAAGGTGTAGAGGTAAAGATATCAGCAAATCGACAGAAGCAACAACCTTCTGTGCAAACACACTTTTATTGATGACAATAACGATTTATAGCTGTTATATTACCTATTGTTCATCAGCAGATAGTTTCCTCACTTGTCATTCGGATTGTAGATGTTCGCATTTCCATTTCTTTGGAGCATTTCCAGTCATGCTTAAAGCTGCAGTAAGTCACACAGTGTCAAACACATGACATTCCTGCAATTGAAGCTCATGTTGTTTAGAAAGACGTTTCAGCATATTGCTTGAAATGTATCAGACATCACAACTATCCCAGAAATGAAATGAAGCCACGCTTTGGGACATTTCTTTCTCTCCGCCATGACTCCTGGTTGTTGCAAGTTTCCAGCTGTGTATGTGCGTGAGTTTTGTCACACATTGTCAATACCGGCAAAAATAATTGATAAGGGCGTAGGATTCCGATGGGTCCAACGATTCCCATCCCTAGCTCCAGTGCTCCAGGTCCCAGGACCGAGCACAGCAGGTTCCAGAGGCAGCTGCGGGGCGGGATGAGAGGATGGTCCGGGAAAGAAACAGTAGAGATTTCTCCAGGAGCAGCGCAGTGTGTTATTAGACTGTCACACCGACCTCTAATAGCACGGAAAAGGAAATGCTTCGTGCCAGTGAAAGCCGCACGGCTAGTAGCCAATGTTACACACACACACACACACACACACACACACCAGCTCCCCCGCTAACGCTGTTTGTCATCAGGCCTCTTTTGCCACTTGCAAGTACAAAGATTGACACAGTGTTAGAGGCTACTTAACACAGGTATTAACACAGATATTACACATATAGGCTAACATGGACGAGAACGTGCTCAGAAAACTATGGAAATTTGAATATTTGCAACTCCATCTGCTGTTGAAGACTGTGTGTGATTATTAAAATGAATCAGTGTCACACTGATACACCGGGCAAAACTTTCCTTCAGTACCATGAACACTGTATTGTCACATTGTCCGGCTACAGCACCATATCTGTATTAATCTGCCACTGAAAATAGTCCCTAACAAATGCACTGGTTTCTTCTTTTTAGTAACTACAGTTAGTAGGGCAGTCAGAAATGATTGAGATAGACTAACACAGACTACTATACAATAACTAAAGGAGAGAACAATGCCAGCCTTGTATAGTCTAAGTGTATAAATATGTACGCAGCCTTTACCTCTATGTCCTCTAGGACACGTCAGCTTCACGCCATTCCTTCTGAGCCTAAACAATGAAAACTTTACATACAGGAATCCTCCCTCTCAGCCTGGAAATGTCTCTCGCTCTTCAAACCAAACAGCGCCATCTCCTGGTGAAAGCTCACTTTATATCTCTGGGTCTTTTATGAGAGGATCTCTAACTATTGTGTGTTTTTAGGATTATCCAGTAAACCTCAGCGTGTAGAGATGGACTGTCCTGACTTCGTGAGTCTAATGTACACTTCCTCTCTTGTGTCTTTGTCAGCATCACAGTGAAGGATGTGAAAGCTCTGCTGCCTCAGGTCAACTACAGAGTCCCCAACATGCGCTTTCTCAAAGACAAACTACAGGTCAGAGCAGAATATAAGGCTGATATGTCTCTTTGAATGTCCCCTCCTGAGTGTTAAAGCTGTAATATGTAACATTTCTGTAGATAATCTGACGCATGCATCTGTGTTTTAAACCACATTTATTTATATATATATATACTTTTTATATCTTGGTATTTTTTAACATATATTTTAACTGAAACCAAGGCAACAAGTACTAGCCAATCAGAGGCAGAGTAAGGCGGGTCTGATTGGCTAGTACTTGTTGCCTTCATTGTTTTGGTTTAGGCATGAGGAGTGAGATTGTTAAGGGTAAGATTTGTCAGGGTAAGCCAATCAGAGGCAGAGGACATGACTTTGCCATCTTGGGAAAAAAATATTATTATTAAATAAAATGATTGCCTCTGGGACGTCCTTTGTCTGCCACACAACATGGGAGAAACAGTGATTTTTAAGGTGGAACTGCTTTATTTAGTGATTGTACTGCTTTTAATCATTGGGTCCGTTTGTTTTGGAGAGGAAGAGACCTCTGTGGATAATTTGGCTCCTGGGAGAAACCTCTGGAAGGTCTGGATCTTAAATAAGACTGGACAATTAATCGAAATATTATCGGAATCGCAATATGATATGTTACCATCCCCATATCGTGCAAACCTAACCTCGCAATGACCGTAGCTCCCATGAACCCTCACTACTTCATAACGTCATCAAACCATGTTCTTTTGTTCCTGTTTTGATGTGAGAGAGCAGCAGCAGTTACATATTGTGTGTTTAACTCACATCCTCCCTGCTCACACAGGAGGTGGAGGCCAGGAGCGATCTGTCATACCCAAACTTCGCACAGCTCTACAGAACGCTGATGTTCGACACACAGAAGAGTGTGAGTGTCAGTTTTGGATTTTCACACAAACACACACTCAGTACAGTCGTGGATGAAGTACTCAAATCCTTTACATCCATAAAAGTAGTTATATTACAATGGAAGAAAGTAAGTTATGCTTTCAGATTTTCCAGGTATCTAATGAAGGAATAAAGGTATATATATTAGAATTATTGCAAGGGAAAGTTCCTTAATTACAAATCACATACACTTTACATTTGCTTACCATTTCCAAACTCAACAATTTATTTCCATTTGGCATTAAAATCAAGTGACAGACTCTAGATATTTGTTAGTCTTCTGGTTGAACCATCAAGGCTGCATTTAATTCTGTCAAAGTTGCATTTTCTCTGCAGAATAAAGCAATTAAACTGCGTTAAGAAGCTGCGATAATGAAGCATAGACTTGATGTTCACCGCTGTTTCAAGAGTCTGCTAATATTATTACTATCTCAGCATTTTGTTCCTTTCTGGAAGAAATGAAAATGTTATTTTTGAAGTTTAGTTAGATTATTATTTAGAATCTAAACTTTGAAGACTTGAAAGCACACTATATTCACAGAGCCTTCACTCTCTCATCAACAGCCTCATCCTGCATTAGAGAAGTTTAAACAACCAAAGAGCTGATAGAACAATGAGAAAGAAACACTGAATTTGCCAAGAAAAAAGAAGCCTAGTAAGTGTGTATGATTGGTAGAATTTAAAATACATAATACAGACAAAGAATTGTATGAAAAATCCTAAAAATATCTTATCTTTTTTTACACAAACTTCCTGCAGTTACTATGTTAACTCTTCTAAATATCGTGGCATTGAGCTGCAGCAGCATACTGTTTTTCAGAAATGTCTTTAAAGATAGAACACAACCCTTCACATCAGCCATCAGATATCATTTCCCTCTGAAAGTAGAATAGTAACATTAAGTGAATTTTGGGTGGAATAATGGATAATGTATTTGAGTACTTCTGCACTCGTACCACGCTCACTTTGTCCTTTACTGTTTATGCTTCACCCGGCTCCCTCCCACCCGTCTGTCACCTGGTTCCTTCCCTTCTGTTCCCAGATTATTGAGCAGCTGGAGCTCTCCTTCCCTCTGCGGTGAGTCCCTGCACCTTCACCTCCTCCTCTTCCTCCACTCCCTTGTCCTCACGTCCCTCACTGTTGTCTTCCTGCCTGTCCAGTTTCTCTTTAAAAACACTTATCAGTGTTCCAAGGTTTTCAGGAAAGTGAAACATTTTCCATGTGTTGTTGCCACTTCAATGGTACTTCAATGTTTTTTTTTTCTTGGCTCTATGGATGTGAAACATTTTTTAACGTTATGGAACATTAACCTAAAAAATGGCATAATGTGAATTGGCACTGGTAGAGTAATGAGGTTGGTTTCCAGACAGACATTTTTGTGTTAATGTATCATATCTCCTCTCTCATTTATTGAAGTTTTCTTTAAAGGGACAGTTCACCCCAAAATCAAAAAATACCCATATTCCCTCTTACTTGTTGTGTTATTTATGCATCGAGATCGTTTTGGTGTGAGTTGTTGAGCTTCGGAGATGTCAGCCTTCTCTCCAATTTATTGGGACCAGATGACACTGGGCTTGTGGTGCTCAAAGTGCCAAAAAAAATTAATTTGAAAAACTATACTATAGATAATCCAGACCTTGTTGTGAGCAGTTTCTTGTAGGAACTATTTTCTTTCTAAATATCACTGCACAGAAGGAAACGCCATCTACTTGTGGATGAGAGGCTTGTGACAGTGCAGGATGTAAACATTAATGCCGTCCTCTCTGGCTGAACTGTAATGTTTCCTTCCTTGTGCACAGTGATACCGTTGGTGGGTGTAATACGGTAGAAATCAAACAAGGTCACAAGGATTCTGGATTATCCTGAGTAACCAGGTCTTGATTTCTAGACATTGCTCGAGTTTTTCAAATGTATTTTTTTGGCGCTTTGACCACCACTAGATGAGTGTCGTCTGTTTCCATTAAATTGGAGAGAAGGCCGACATCTCCAAAGCTCAACAACTCACACCAGAACAATCTAGATGGATAAATAACGCAACAGGTAAGAGGTTTTTTGATTTTGGGGGAATCTGTCCCTTTAACTTTCCCTCCTCTACTGTCTGACATCTTGACAATCGTTGTTTGTAGGAATGTCGACAGACCAGAGCTTTGTCAGATCTCCCTCTACGACTTCCAGAAGTTTTTACAGATGGACCAGAAGGTACCGAACAAACACAACACACACAAACACAACACACGCTAACACAACACAGAGAATGCCTTCTTTCTGCTTTGTGCTCACTTGCTCACTCAATTGTCTCAGGACTCCTGGGCATCGGATCTGAGTCGTGTCAGAGAGTTCCTCATGGGGTACATGAGGGGTGGACCACAGCCTGAGCCCATGCTACAACTTGACGAGGTGAAACCTGATAAAGACACAAATGTGCACAAAACTTTAAATAAACTGTCGATATCTTCCTACCATCTGATCATATTTCTTTGTTTTCTAGTTCCTGACATTCCTGTTCTCTAAAGAGAATTCCATATATGATCCTCGACTTTCGACTGTTGTTCCTGATGACATGAAAAGGCCGCTGTCTCAGTATTGGATCTCCTCTTCACACAACACGTAGGTCTCAACACTCGTGTCTCAAATGCTCCTAAATGTTCATAGTTTGGACCCCCATAAAGACACATGTAAAGAGTTGGTCTCAGGAATCCTCATACTGTGTAAGAAGACTGTGTTATTGTATTGAAAGGCGCTTTCTGGCATTCATTGTAGTTTTTTTTAGGCAGGAATAAATATAATATTTATAGGTATGTTTCCATTAGCCATCAATCAATTAAAAATGATAAATATTCTCTGATTCCAGCTTTTCAAATGTGAGGATTTGTTGCTGTTTTCTGTTTTTATTTTTTTTATCATTGTAAATGTGAAAATGTTTATCAGTGCTAGACCATTTTGTTATGGCAGCTCTTGAATGCACATAACTCTAACTCTCAGTAGTAAGGCAGCAAATAATCAAATTTATGAACCGTTCTCCATGTTTTTGTTTTCCTCAGCTACCTGACAGGTGACCAGTTTTCCAGTGAATCCTCTCTAGAAGCCTACGCCCGCTGCCTGAGGATGGGCTGCCGCTGCATCGAACGTAACAGTCTCCAACTTTTGATTTTATCTTGCATGAAAATTAAATTGATTTAAGCAATTCACATATGGAATGGCAGTGTTGTTTTGTGTTCAGATTTCTGTTTTGTTCTAGTCTTTTCTGGATTCAATGAGGGTTTATACCTAAATCTGTGTTTCCTGATCTTAGTGGACTGCTGGGACGGACCTGACGACCTACCGATCATCTACCACGGCCACACTTTAACTTCCAAAATCAAATTCCTGGATGTGCTGCACACCATCAAAGAACACGCCTTCGTCACATCCGAGTAAGTGGTAATCACCCCTGTTGAGTTGGTTTTATAGGACGGAGGTTGGTTGGTGACAAAAGCTGCCACCATATACGTCGCCTGTCTCCAGATCAGCCAGTAGCGAAATTCAATTGCAGTAGCCGGGTTTCAAGCAGTAGAGGGCTGTTGTGTTTGTGCAGGTATCCTGTGATCTTGTCCATTGAAGACCACTGCAGCGTGGTCCAACAGAGAAACATGGCCACACACTTTAAGAAGGTGTTTGGAGATCTGCTGCTCACCAAGCCAGTTGACAACAACGCAGAGGAGCTTCCCTCACCCCACCAGCTCCGCAGGAAGATCCTCATCAAGGTACACAGACAAACACACCTACGTTGCATATCAAATCAGAGAGTGCATCCCTCAAAGTCAGCAGTATAATACCTTTTTGTCATTCCAGATTTTGGTTCAAGTAGGTCCTGTGTGTTTCACTGCCCCTCTCTTGGTGTCAGTTTCAGGCCTGTTGCATCACTAATGACTGTGGGTAGATGTGTTGAAAAGTGTGCTTTGTAACACCTGTAACCACCTGTAAGAACTTCAAGCTTGTTGTAAGTTTCAGGCCGATTTAAGCGCTGAATTAGGATGCAGCCCATTTGTAGTTTATCTGTAATGTGGCCTACAACCAAACATCACTCACAAGACTGAAGTTGAAGTTACATCCTTGAGAAAAGGATCCCTGACCTCCATTAAAACTCAGTGGTTGAGACAGTTGTTTCGAAGTGGTGTTAACTTTTTGGACCTGTCACAAGTCCAAACATAATATACACATGCAGTAAAATGCTCCCACGTTGTCTTACTGATCACAAAGCCAAACTGTGTCTTATGTTTTTACCATTTTTGTTACAGCACAAGAAACTGGTGGAAGGCACGCTTTATGAAGAAGTGTCCTCAGCCAGCTACTCTGAAAACGACATCAGCAACTCTCTGAAGAACGGCATCCTTTACCTCGAGGACCCCATCGACCACGTGCGTGTCTAAGTGCTTCAGTGCCAGCGGTTATGCATAAAACACACTGTCTTATACAGCATTATTGATATGTATTTTTTTTGTGTGACATGCAGACGTGGACTCCACACTATTTTGTCCTGACCAGTAATAAGATTTATTACTCAGAAGAGACGTCTCATTACCAGACAGCTGATGAAGAGGAGGACGATGAAGGAAAAGAGGTAGGGAGATGATGATTATGAGAGCTGTTGATGATGCAGTCAGGTTCCTCACTCTTTCCTGTAATTCCTTAGGAGTGTAACAACAACGAGCAGCACTGTGCAGAGCGCTGGTTCCACGGGAAGCTGGGTGGAGGTCGCGATGGTCGGCAGGTGGCTGAGAAGCTCCTGCAGGAGTACTGCGAGGGCGGGGCCAAAGACGGCACCTTCCTGGTCCGGGAGAGCGAGACGTTTGTGGGAGACTACACCCTCTCGTTCTGGTCGGTAACACCAAACAGGACATGAGCTTCTCCTCTTTGCTCTTTTTTTTCCAGTGGAGAAAAGTTAAAGGGAATGTAGAAACACATTTATAAGACAGCTGTGAGTTGAGGAACAAAATTTGGTCATAGCTGCAAACAGTTCTATTACGAAATCACTTAAAAATCAATCAATTTTCCAATATTGTAAATTTCAACAGAAAGAGAGTCATCCACTACATCTGTCTCTGGTCTGGCAACTTATTTTACCAGTGAATCAGCAGATAAATATTGTTTGACAAAAATATTCTTGAAGCTTTTATCCTGTGGCTTTTACTCAGTGGATAGAGTTTCTCAGTTGTCATTAAGATGGTTTACTGTTACCATATGATATAAGTAGGGAGTTTCAGTCACATGCTAAGGTCACAAGATGTGATTGAAATGTCCAGAAACTAGTTGGATCTTACGTTAAATGGAGTGTTTGTGTGGTCTTAAATATGATTTTGACAGCTCTTAAAAATTGAGTGGACTTGAGTTACTTGTATAAAGTTGTTTTTGAGAATTATTTTTATTGCTCATCCTGTAATTATAATATAAAACCAACTTGAAACCAATAAAAATTTTCCTTCACATCCTTTGCACTTTTTTGCCAGTATGGACATAAAATAGGTCCTAAATTGCATTCGTAATGGTCACGCAGATTAAAGCTGCTGTTCCCAAGCTAAAGAATGAGCCTTAAGAAGTACGGCAGCATGAGGAATTTTGTATTGCAATGTGGGTGAAATTTGAACCAATTATTATTAATTAGTCCTCCTCCTCTAGGCGGTCTGGTCGAGTCCAGCACTGCCGGATCCATTCACGTCAGGAGTCTGGCTCCACTCGCTTCTACCTGACTGACAACCTGGTGTTTGACACCCTCTACCGCCTCATCTGCCACTACAGAGACACGCCTCTGCGCTGCAATGAGTTCGAGATGAGGCTGGGCAGCCCCGTACCTCAGCCCAACGCACACGAGAGCAGAGAGTGAGCGATTAATGTCTGCAAAGATGTCATAGGTCTTTTTGATTTGTGTGAAAAGTTGAACAGGTGATATGTTTGTTTTAAAATAGTTGTCTGTTTTCCAGGTGGTACCACTCCAGTCTGTCCCGCGTTCAGGCTGAACACATGCTGATGCGAGTTCCCAGAGACGGAGCTTTCTTGGTGCGAAAACGCAGCGAACACAACTCCTACGCCATCTCCTTCAGGTAGAAGAACAACGCTCGCTCACGGATGATCATCGGTTTTCTTCTCAATATGAACATTTTAAAACCACCAAAATGATCTTCTCGCTCTTCCCTTCCCTCTGTTCGTGTCCATCTGTCTGTAGGGCGGAGGGAAAGATCAAACACTGTCGTATCCAGCAGGAAGGCCGTCTCTTCATGTTGGGCAGCTCAGCAGAGTTTGAGAGTCTGGTCGACCTTGTGAGCTACTACGAGAAACATCCTCTGTATCGCAAGATGAGGCTCCGGTACCCCATCAATGAGGACACTCTGGACCGGATGGGCACCACTGTTAGTCACACACAGCTCACAGTTTTTAGTCTATTTAATAAGAATCACATCACTTTCCTCCCATACTGCCTAAAAGAAATCTTTTTCTAAACCACATGTATCGAATCGTGCTTTAGATAGTTCCCACCTTCCAGACAGCCAACGGTTTCCATTCATTTTCGTATGATATTAAAAGTCCACAAACTTAAAACCTTTTGTTTTTGTTCAGGGCTACTGCTTATGGTTACTTTCAGTACTAGCAGTATCTGTTGATAGTTTTTTTTTTTCAATTAACCATACAATCCACAAAATAGTAAATAGAAAACAGTAAAAAATGGCACGATTTCCAAAGCACAAGGCAAAGTCTTGCTTAAAGACTTGGACTGATTAATTGTCACAATTTTAACATTAAATTATGACTTTCAGTTACATTATTGTTGTGACAATGCAGTGCAGACTTTTCTAATCCATCTGCAGCTTTAAACTGAATTACGATGCAATAACAATGTCGCTAATGATATTAAAGTCATGTGGTTTTCACTGTCATGGCTCACATAATACATTTTTTCTACCACTTTGAAATGAATAGAACGGAAACCAGTGTCTGACTGGAAAGTAGTACCTGTCAGCAGTTATATATATATATATATATATATATATATATATATATATATATATATATATATATATATATATATATGGCAGTATTTTTTACTTTCATTGTTGTATAATCATTTTCATACATTTAGAAATCAAATCAATGTGGGAAAAGTAAACAGTTATGAGTTTAATAGCAGCATTAACTACAAAAGTATTTGATTATTTCTCAGGAGCTTGACTACGGGGCACTGTATGAGGTCCGAACTCCTCATTTCTATGTGGAGGCCAATAAGATGCCCACAGCACGGGTAAGTGAGACCGTTTGTACTATGGACCTCCAGTTTAATCCCTGTATGATTATTTAATGATTGTCATATCTTATCACATTATTTAATAAATGATTAGCAGATGCAATTACCATTAAAGCTGATATGGGTAGACTTTTCTATCGTTATCAGCAGTTAAAATAAATACCAAGTACACAACCTGTAGCAGCAGCACAAGTACAGGAAATATTTGTATTGAGTTTTGTGATGTAGATGTACATGTAGAAGTATTGGCAGTGCAATGTACTAGTTTGATAACTTTTAATACTGAAGAGAAGAGTTTTTGAGAGATTTGTGTGCTTTCAGATTAGTTTAAAGAAGAAATACCGAAAATTAGGAAAGAGACATTAAAGGAGGAAAGACCTGTTTGAAGGACAGGAAAAACAAAGAAAGAAGACATAGAAAACATAAGGAAAACATTATTTGGATTATTGGAAGTGTGTGGAAATGGACACTGGACTTTGGCACCCCCCAGCGGTCGTATCTAAAAGTGACTGATGGTGTTTCTTGCGGCTGTGTTTCAGTGTACGGTCAAAGCTCTGTATGACTATCGAGCTCAGAGGGAAGACGAGCTCTGTTTCCCCAAACAGGCGCTCATCCTCAACGTGGACAAACAGGAGGGCGGCTGGTGAGTGTATCTCAGCGTACATGTGTCCGTGTCCGTTAACGCCACGTAACATCCTACACGTCACAAACCTGTGTGTCGTCTTTAAGGTGGCGAGGTGACTACGGAGGAAAGAAACAGCTGTGGTTTCCTGCAAACTACGTGGAGGAGGTTCCCAGTTCTCCCACCAGAGAGCTGGATGAAGCAGTGAGTTCTGAGTCTTACACGGAGTCAAACGATCAGCTTGCTTTTCCGATCATAATCAATCTCTTGTTTTCCTATTGTTCCAATGTCTCAGTCCACAGAGAACAGTCCCCTTGGAACATTTCTCAAGGGCTTCATTGATGTACCCACCTGTCATGTAGGTGAGTCAGATAAACAAACAGAGGTGATAACTTTCATTTAGTTATATTCAGATGATAAGGGAGGGACTGATCAGATTAAGTGTGACTAGCCAATGTATTTATCCCTCAAACTACCCAAAGGCTAACATGTAATTACCAATAGACAAAAAGTGACTGCCTTCTCACACTAAACTCACTCTCTGCCTCGAACCTCTTCCTCCCATCACCTCTGTCCAGTGGTGCACAAGGATGGGAAGAACTCGCGGCCCTACGTATGCACGATCCACTCCCAGCACCTGTCCTCGCACCCAGTCCAGACTCTGGATGTGGCGGCCGACACTCTGGAGGACCTAACCGGTTGGGTCAGCAAGATCAGAGAGGCTACGCAGAACGCTGATGCACGGGTCAGTACGAACTTCCATTCATCATAAAATTAAATAAAAGTTTTGAACAAATGGTAAAACTTTAACTTGTTCACCAATATCTAAAAGGAGTTTTATATTGTTGTAGTAACAGTATGGTTGGCTTATCTCCATGGTAACAGATGCAGGAGGAGAAGCAAATGGAGAGGAGGAAGAAGATCGCGGTGGAGCTGTCCGAGCTAGTGGTCTACTGCAGACCTGTCCCCTTCAACGAGGACAGTAAGGATCAAACTGTTCTCTGTTCTTCTCTTGTCTCACAGTAAAAGTTTCTGTGTGTAACTTTATGATTTGCTGCTGCTTCCAGAGATCGGGACGGAGAGGGCGTGTTACCGGGACATGTCCTCCTTCCCAGAGACAAAGGCAGAGAAGTTTGCGACTCGCGGCAGAGGGAAACGCTTCCTGCAGTACAACCGCCGTCAGCTTTCCAGAGTTTATCCCCGAGGACAGAGGCTGGACTCGTCCAACTACGACCCACTGCCCATGTGGCTCTGTGGCTCCCAGCTGGTCGCACTCAATTTCCAGACCCCAGGTCGGTGCTCAAGTATACATTATGTGTATGTTTAGACGAGGTCAAAGCAAACAGGTACACAGAAATTTGTACTTTTCACACGTATTGTAGAGTTTTAGAGGTGCAGATGTTCATTCAGCAGTGAATTTGTCTTCTTGCTTCAGACACAAATTCATGAAACTGAAAGAAGAGAAGAGAAAAAATAAATCAATTAAATAAGATACTATTAAAAAGAAACACCCCGACATGATTGTTGTAGTTCAGTTTAATTGAAATGTAGCTTCTTTGTGCGAGTTGTAATACTGACATTTGCAACTAGCAGTGTTAGTTAAACAGCTAAAATTAGTAAATTGTTAAACACTCAGTAGCAATCTCTTATTCATTGAACAATTTTTTCTACACTTTGTAACTTAAAGATGCAATTAGTTTTATAAATTACAAGCAGTGTAACATGCTCAGATTGCGTAACTACTTAGTTTTGCTGTTCAACTAATCTGTTGTTTAGTTACGTTTGCAAATAATCAATCTGTTACCATATTTCCGTGGTCCTTTTATCACTTGGTGCGTAGCTGCGTACGAGTGGAACATAGCTAATCCTACGGTTGTGTCAGTGTGTATGTGTAGCTCAGCTAGCGAGATGGCAGAGAGGAAAGCCTGTACATTGTGAAAGTGTTTGCATTACTTTGTGGGTTTGTTTGTCAGAAAGTTTAATTGTGTTAAATGCTTTTAAAGGAGTACCACATCCTACAAAGGTTGCAGCAGCAGTTTCCTAACACTGAGGATGTCCGCTATAAGAGAAACCTCGTGCACTGAATAAATATTAAATTGACTGTGTGTGTGTTGTAGACAAACCCATGCAGCTGAACCAGGCCCTGTTCATGCTCGGAGGCGGCAGCGGCTACGTTCCCCAGCCTGACATCATGAGAGACGACGCCTTTGACCCTTTTGACAAGGACACCTTACACGTGGAGCCAATCACCATCCAGTTACAGGTCAGCTGACGTCATAGAGAGAACTCCTGGACTGATTCATTTTGTCAGTGTTGTACCTGCTTTTCACGTCCTTCCGCTCTTCCTGCTTTAGGTCCTGGGGGCCCGTCATCTGCCTAAAAATGGCCGCAGCATCGTCTGTCCCTTTGTGGAGGTGGAGATCTGTGCAGCTGATTACGACAGCTGTAAGTGCAAGACAGACGTTGTAGGTAAGACAGCTTCTCGCGGTCACTGTGATGTGAAACCTCCACATCGTTCCCTGATCGGCTCACTGGCTGTGTACTAACGGTCTCTTCCTCCTGACCCTCCCAGCTGATAACGGTCTGAATCCTGTGTGGGTGCAGAAGCAGTTTGTGTTTGACATCCACAACCCCACCTTCTCCTTTCTGCGCTTCACCGTCTACGAGGAGGACATGTTCAGTGATCCTAACTTCCTGGCTCAGGCGACCTACCCGGTCCGTCTGCTACGAACAGGTGAATGTGGAATAAGTGACACTGATTAACTGCAAACCCAGTTTACATTAAATGCAAATGACATGTTTTTTTAAAAGTGTTTTCAAAAGCCAACAGCAAAGCCTAACTGAGAGAATAAAATCATTAAAAGTGAAAAATCACAACTGAAAGAAGGAGAAACAGATTTGCAGTCTACAGTGCAAACAGACTAACATTTCAACACTACTGTGTCTTTATCATAGTGGAAGGAAAATATATGAATCAATAATATATACACAAGTTAACCTAGAACAGGTGTACAATTTACCCTTTCTAAGTCCCGCCCCTTTTTGCTCTGTGCTCCAATAACAGTTGAGCAAACCTTGGTCAGCTTTCTCCTTTCCTGCACTTGGTTAAAAGATAAAAAGCAACATGTATACATTCGCTTACATTTCGCTAATATTAGTTAACTTAAGATGTGACTATCTTGAATTTCCCTCGGGATAAATAAAGTATCTATCTATATGTTGCTTTTATCCAAGTACAGGAATGGAAAAGGCCGACTGAAGCTTGCTCAAGCACAGAGCAAACAGAGGCGGGACTTAGGAAGGGTTAATTGTTTGAATGTTTTGATCATAAATATCTGTCTTTATTCTGTGTATTTATTATGTTATTATGTATATTGTGCCGTCACAGGCTACAGGAGCGTCCCTCTGAAAAACAGCTACAGTGAAGAACTGGAGTTGTCTTCACTTCTGGTCCACATAGAGATCGTCAATGCAAAGGTGACGCTGTTTTTCTTTCTCTTGCTTTCAGCAACATGGATGACAACCAGGGGTCCCCAGAAAAATGTGCAATATTTCAAATTTAAATTGAATTAACAAACTCTCTCTTGGTCAACCTTTCATACGCACATCCGTACACAAGCTGTAACTTACACTTTCCTCCTCGTGGCTGCAGGAGGAAGACGATGAGAACCTGTACATGTCCATCCAGCGGCTGCGGGATCGAACCAGCGAACTGTCGAACCAGGTTTCCCTCCTGGAGAGGTCGGGCTCAGGGGATCTCAGCTACCAGCAGAGTCTGGAGGAGCTCAGAGCGGCTCAGGACCAGCTGAGTGAGCTGGTGGAGGCTCGAAACCGCAGGTGACTGATTATACAACACACACACACACACACACACACACACACACACACACACACACACACACACACACACACACACACAGGAAAAAGATTTAGAGAAGCATGGGTTAATTGATTTGTGTAGACACCTCTTTTACATTTTTTATTGGTACTGAAACGATAAATCGATGCAATAAGTTCCCAGTATGTTTTCTGATTTCTCTCAATTGTGAGGATTTGCTGTTTTATGTTATTATTAACTTGATTAAATTATCAATTATAAATCCGTAATTCATAATGAAACTAATCATCAGCCCTTTTTGCTATTTTTTCATGAGAGTACAACTAGCAATTATTTTCTTTAATTGTTTGATCTCTGTTTTCTCTAATTTTAAATTTTTTGCAAAAACTAGTATTTTATACATGTATTCAATTTATACTTTATATGGCAGAATATTTTAGTTTTTAGGACTAGTTATTTTTCATTACTTCAGAGTGTAGAATCTCCAAGTTGCTCACTAATTGCTCATTACTGATTTGATCTAAATTCCCGTCTCTCCCGTTGCAGTTAACTTTAAACCACAAACATATATATGATGATATATGAAAGCACGCACACATATATAAAACACTTCTCACACAAAATAATGTTCTTTCTGCTTTTTCAGGCTGATGGAGAAGAAGAGGAGGGAGAAGCTGAGGCAGCAGGTCGCAGCAAAGCGCAGCTAATCTTCCCGTCCACCAGAGAGCGCTCAAGTCCAACACAAACGGTGCCTGACAGCCTGAGGAGACAACAGGCTCTCAATCCATTTATAACTGGAAACAAAAAGCTGTTAAGTACCGTGTTGTACTGACAGCGGAGGAAAAAAGTGACAGAAACATCTCATGGACTAAAAAATAAACCTCACAAAACTAAGCTACAAACACAATCATGGACTGAAGGCTGAAACACATTAAGAGTATTGTAATTATTATTGTAGATGGGTTTTCTTCTGATGTTTTCATGGAAACAAAAGAGACAGGAGAGGTGAAGGGTCAAAAGACAGATTTCTGAATTTCAATATCCTGATTAGAAATGAAATTATTAGGGGAAATCAATCTAGATCTAATTTTGATAACTGATTCAGCCATTTTGCAAGAAAAAAAATCAGCGATGTTTGCAGGTTCCTGCGTCTCTAACGCACTAAAATCCCAAGACAGTAAACTCACTATCGGGTTAAATTAATGTTACATTGCAAACAATAAATCTGTGTTAAAATCCTAGAACTAAACCAAAAATCACAATCTTAATCATCGCCATCACACTGTCGACGATGACCGATGATGCTTTACCGTCCAGAGAACTTGCCGTGTTGCATTCATAGAAATAAACCAACATTTTCTTATCATCTACGGATACATCTCATGCAATACAAGAACCCGTGTTCTTCCCTGAATTATTAGTGAAAAGAAAACGTTCTAAAAACGCCACCAAAGGATCAAACATATTGCTGACAAACGACTGCACAAAGAGCTATATTTTCTGCCCCTAAATTTACCTCTGATGAGTTTTCAGATGTATTTACAACATATAACTATTATGGAATATAACCATAATCATATCCATATAAAAAACACATTATATTGGGGACCCACTAAAAGACCTCCAGTGGGACTCACTACATTGAAGACTATTAAGATCAATGAAAAAACACCAAACATTTGCTGGTTCAAGCTCAAGAATTCTTTGTGTTATCTGATCATAAATTGTTCATTTTCAGGACTATTAATTGGACAAACAAGCTATTTGAAGTTGCCAGCTGGAGCTTAAGGAAATAATAACAGGCATTCACCATTTTATGGACAAAAAACTTACGCGATCAATTGAGAGAATTAACGTTATTTGCACTAATCATGATGAGTGAGTCTGGCAGAGTTTTAGACTTCTCACGTAGTGAATGTCAGCTAATTATAATAAATATGCTGCTGGCCAAATGCCACCACAACAAAAAGTCAAAAATAAATGAATGCTGTCCAACAGAATAAAGATTACAACCCCCACCCCCTCACACACACACACACTTATATAACAAAATCTGGCCAGGCTGCTTCTTGACACACGTTTTAGTGCAGCTGGTGATACAACAAACACGAAAAGCCTTTTGGAAATTTAAGTTTTAAGCTCTTTCTGTGTTTTGGTCTTCAGCAAGAGGAAATAAGGGAGAAGAAAAACTCAGGTTACACCGATGGATGGAATTAAATAAGCTCAGATATCTGGATGGAAAAAAGGGAGTAGTGGGCACACGTAGCAAAAAAAATAAATATCATGTATGTGCCTTTTGACGTGGAGAATAATTAGTCGAGTGTTTAACAAAAGACTGCTTTCTGTACAACTGGAAGAGTGGCTCTTTAAGGGAAACCTAACAAACTGGGAGGAGGAATATCGCTCGCTTGGCTCGGACCACTACTCATGAAATGGGTTTTAAAAAGGGATTTAAAAGACTTAAGTCTGTTCCTCCTCAGTTTTTTTTTTTTTTTTTGGGGGGGGGGTGATCACGTGGACTCTGCCCTCAGGTGGGTGGGGCTCCTGTCACAGATGTTCCTGTTCTACCTGGGAGAGCACAAACTGGAATGTCCAAATCCAATCCAAACCACACCGAGAAGGTCTTTTAATACTTCTTCAAAAAGGGCTCTAAATAAATCTATACTACCTTAAGAGGCACGAGGAGAGCAAACAAGGGCTATCACAGAAAACTAGCAGAGCACTCTGTCACCTGCCTGTTCAGATGTATCGCCTCACGTCTGAACCACAGGACCAGGATCAGTTCCCATCGTCTGGCTCTAATCAACAGCTGTGGCTCAACTGGTCCTGGATCTGCTAAAAAAACGGCTTCAATTCGACCCCACTGCATGGCTTCATATCTAATAATGCCCCCCCTCCCCTCCCCTCCCCTCTGTAGCTACTTCACCTTCCCATCAGCCCCCCCTGTCTGATTTCTTACTGTATATAACTTCTTTTATTTATCAAACGGGTGTAAATCCTGTTTCAATAGATGAAAGAACATACTAGAAGAATGATAATGGACTTCAGATTGAAGATGCTGTAACTTTATGTAGAAATTAATATCGTGTACCTGGAGCTCCCTTTAAAATGTCCCCGTAGACACAAACCTCTCTTTCTCCCTGCGCTGCACTCGCACTGGGTAGGGACTTCTATGCAAAGGTCGTCTTCTCGGCCAATAGACGTCGTGTATTAGGCGATTTGACTCAAGTTGTGTTTCCTCTCCGTATCTATGCTAACTGTGTCCAGTATTATTACTCTGCATTACAAATCCTGTGCAAGTTTCCATTTAATAAAAGCTCTTTCATGTACTCCTGTGTGCACTCTTTTTGAAGCATTATGTAAAAGGTAAAAAAAAAGGCCATTTCTTTAAACAGATAAATGGAAATTTTACTGCTCTTTGTCTTACAGGGGCCTAAACGTTTAAGAAATTGGGCAGAATATTAAATTGTTTGTGCCTTTGATGTTTTCTTGGCTGGGATACTTCTACACATCCACACAGAGTATATGAGGCAATCAAGGCAGTTTAATTATAAAACCAGAATCAATATAATGACCAACATAGGGTTACAACACCTAATGGTCTAAAGTCTTCAGACAGTACTGTGTGTGTGTGTGGTAAACATTCAAAAAAGACACATGGTTGAAAATCAGCTGTAGACTTTGAGAAAGGATATCAGATAAAGATTTTCTAAGTTACAGAAATCTAAAAAAAAGGAACAAACTGATCTCCATTAAAATAAAGATTAAATTAAAAATGCACCAGTCCAACCAACACAATAGCACTAAAGCTAATGTTTGACTTTTATTACAGTATATTCAGTAGCTTTAAAGGGGAATGAGCAGTCACTGTGATTAAAAGTGGACATGCTGAACCCTAAGCTGAAGCTATATTTAATGTCATATCCATTGTTTGACGTCTTACTGATATGAATGCAGATATAAAAAACGGTTCCAGCTTACTGATATAAAACCTGCTTGTTGTGGCTTTAGTAAATTATTTGTATTCCAAGAACACGGAGAGCTGAAAATTAACTTCAGATTGTGTGTGTCAGAGTACTATGGAGTATTAGGGCCATACTAAGAGGAAAAATAAATAAATAAACTTTTTGGGAAATTACGAGAATAATATACAAAAGAAGCAATTTCTTCCAAGTCCGTGTGGTTCTTTCTTTGAAATAGACACAGTCGTTTGCACAATGATACTGATAATAATTTGATGCTGATGAGCCAAAAGATTAAGTATTTCCTTATTTGTGAAACCGATACCAAAGGATAACTTCACAAAATGCTCAACATTCCTCGTTTTAACGCAGCGGGAAGAGTTCTCATAAAATTATGACTTTATTCTCGTAATTTCCCTAACACTCCGTCGTAGTATAAATAAATGAAAGACCAAGAAATTATAAACATCAGCAACTTTATAAGAACTTTATGGGTACCGTAAAACATAAATTCAAAGCAGGGTCCCAATTAGAGGCCGGTCTCTTTTACTAGCCTACACATCGTTAGATCAGTTAGATTCTCAAGTAATATTCATACTGGTTTAAATAAAAAAATAAGTTGATTTCCCATCTTTGCTGAGCAAGAGGAATTAGTCCCATATAGAGGCCTGTTCCAAATAAAGGCTTGGGCTATTAATTAATGTTTTAGGGTATTTACTTTATTTAAAGGGGTGAAATCATAGGATGAAAAAGATTAGTGAAGATTTTATAATTTCTCAGAACCCAAAGTGACAGTCCAACAAACCCAAATATATTCAGTATATAATGATAAAAAGCAAAGAAACGCAGCAGATGGTCACACTGGAAAAGCTAAAAACAGAGAATATTTGAAGGTTTTTGAAGACAAACCAATTAATTTTTGATTAATTTTCTGTCTATCTACTAAACTAACAGCTGCAGCTGTAGTTCAGGTTCAGCCTTGGTCACGCTACATGACTTACACAGTTGTCAGTGTCAATGCACTGTTCACACTATGTGACTGATCACCAACAGGAGGTCACACACTACAAGATCTATTTACAAGGAGTAATTTATAAACAGGCACATCATGTTTAATTAGGAAAGTAGAAAAAGGGGCAACCATTTAGAGCATACGGTACAATCAGCTAATCAATACACACATCATTAAACCATTAATCAGCCTCATAACTAACAGCAGTCAATGTAAGACAACCTTATCATCCTTTAGCAGTTACCTTGTGTTTCTGCAGTAGTGACAAAACCTTAAATATTTTACATATTAGCTGTTTGGATTCAACTAAAATCTCCCTGCTCCAAACTCCCATAAAGAAATATTACATTTTAACAATTCCTCACAACATGTAACTATACAAACTCGAGGTAAACTGCCTCATTTAAAGACAGTATTCTTCATTTCGGCATCAATATAATCCATAAAGATAAACTGTATTCCCTACAAACTTCACATTTTGCCGCCTCGAGTAAAGCAGACCTACTGTATACAAGTCCTACAAGTGTCTGAGCTGAAAGCGCTGTTTTCAGTTAAATATCAATGAGCGACGCTCTACTTCTAAAAGCTATTTATTCACTTTGTGCTACCATTGACTGACTAGGTTGTACATGTATGTGTCCGACACCCTGAGTCATTGTCACTAAACTGGACCCTTGAAATGTTACTCTGGTGCAATATGCAAATCGTTAAGAGCCGTAATGAGAAAACAGGATCATAATAAAGTGTTGTAGCTCTGCAGAGTCAAATCTTGTTTTTCAGATCTTAAGAAAACATGTTTATTTGGTACAGACCCCAACAAATTTCAAATCATCATGATTTTAATTGTTTTTTGTGGGGTTAAAATTCAATTTGTGATACAGAAAATATTATTCTCACAATATCTGTTAAAATAATCACAATATGATGTGTTTACCAAATCGTGCAGCCCTACTCATTACTATTCACTCATAACATCTGTCATATACTTCAGCATACACTTTATTTACTTTGTATATAGGCTCTTACTATCTTATTATATCTCTTAGGCTCTTATTAAATCTCTATTTTATTTTTTACTTTTATACATTCATTTGTATTCCATATATTGTGTTAGATATTGTATACAAGTACTATTTCTTACTGCAGTCAAGCCAGCAGACCCAGTTTTTTGCTGTACGTGATTATAGTAGCTTTACGGTAATAGCGTCTCAGAACTGGTTTCAAAATAAAAGCCCGTCAAAGTGTCAAATATGAGACTAATTACATATGATTTGGGATTCAATTTAAAAGGAAACGCCCTGTCATCACAGAATAATTCCACTTCAGGGTTATAGTATACGACCCCATAGTGTGACCCAGTAAGTTTCAAAACATTCTGATAGATGTATATTTTTTAAACCCTATCCGCGTAAAGATTTCTGATGTAAAGCATGTTCTATGTATTATTAAAAATTCCTGTTTGATGTCACATTTTTCCTTTTGGCCCTATTCCTCTAGCAAGTGGGCGTCATTGCTGTTCACGTGTCTCCTGTTTAAATATTCTAACCATCAATATTTTGCTTTACATTGAAAGTTAATCTTTTCTCATTGTATGATCACAGTGGAGGAGAATAATACGGTCTTGCAAGTATAGGAATTGTAATGGAAAATGTTAATACACTATATGTAACCTCGTGCTTATGAACTACTGTGTGTGCAAAAATGTCAATCTGTTCCAAGGTTGCTCTCAGCACCTGGTAATTCTCCCACACGATAAAGACTAACAGTCAACCCGTGGTTACAATGTCTCTGTTATTGAGGGAGGAGAGGCTGAACCCGGTGGAGACTGGCTCCAGGCATCTCCTATGAATACAAGGTCATGATGCTCGTTAGCATGACTAGCTGTTACCTACTTTGTACCTCCTGTTTTTGCTTCTTCAGTAAATGAGGGTGCAGCCCTGAGAAGAGAGACCTTTTCATGCTGTCAAGCTGAGAGGCTCGCTCTGCGCAGAGCTACACCCGGGGAAAAAGACTGATTGACTGACTGACTTTTAATTCTTGCATCTCACATGAATGGGCTGAATTGAATTTCCACCACAGAATCCTAATTTTGATGACTAAGACAAAGTTCGGGGCCGCCTGAGCTCCATTACTCTACAGTCCAGCCCCACCTGAAAGCAGAAACCATTTCACCCCACCAGGAGTTCCACCATTGAACCTTGGTGACTGTATAACGACACTTTTGATGCATCATTGTAACTTTTATGTGTTTTGAATGTGTCTTTTGTTGATTAGTTTTGCGTAGTTCCGAATAGGTTCTTTTCTTTGGTATAACTTTAGTGTTTGGAGTCTGGTTTGTGTTTTAGTAACAGCTGACTGTATTCATGTTTTCTTAGGTATGTTCATTGTTCTGTTAATTGATTATGAGTCCTGTGGTTATGTGATTGGATTATGAGTTAATATGAGATATGTGTGGGATATTTGATTTCTTCATAAAATGAATGACACTTTGGACTACAAAACCTGAATATGTGTGCATTCACTTTTAGAGGCTGTAGTTTACTTGAATGGGTTTGATTGCATTTAACTACGTAACAAAACTAACAATCTCATATAAAGAAAAGAGAAAAATGACAACAAACCTGAACCATTGAGTATTCCAAGTGCAACCTTAGTCCTTGCATTAGCCATCTCCTTCTTGGATGTCCCAAAGGACATGAGTGGCAATGCAGGAAATGCTTCCATCACTGCCTTCGCCATCTACACCAACATACAGAATGAAGCTTGTAATCTTTGAAACATTGTTTTTGAACAAAAATGCAATGAATGCTAATAGACTTATACAATACATGGGTTTTGTCAACAATCTTCCCTCACTTCAATCACATTAACATCAATCATAAAAAGAATAACTTTTAGTGTGAATTCACTATTTGGACATTGATGAGTTGTTATAGTTTTTTATCATGTACAACAATTATTGTTTGTCATAACTGTAATTTATGATATATTCGTCATCTTATTTGACTTTAAATTATGTACTGTATATATTTAAATGACTCAATGTTTGCTGCATAGTTATACATTCATATTTGTTTTTACATTGAATCAAGACACTGCCTGCCCCACTGAATATCTGACATGAAAGGTATTAAACACAGGTAATTTTGGACATGCAGTGAAAGAACAATGCAGCATTGTTCCTTTCCCCCATGGAAACCATGTTAAAATGATGGACGTCCTGTCAATCACCATCTCAGTAGAGCAACAATTGTCTTTATTAGAGAAACTGGTATTATGTATCATTCATCCATTAGGATATGTCCTTGTGACTTTATTCTTTGAATATAGAAAAAATATTTCAATTGCTTTACCAATTTAGCCAATACTTCGAAAGACTTAAAATTTCCATCAGTGTTTCATTCCTGGTGATAATTGTTATTTAGCCATTTTCAGATAAACCATGTTTTTCCTACTGACTTTGATAGAGATTGAGATCACACATGTTCTTTACCATGGTGAAGACGACCCCACAACTATTGCTGTCCTGTTGAACAGGATGGGGCATGATTGCTCCTCTCCACTTTATAGTCCCCCAGTCATTCTTTGAATGGCAGATATTTCTCATCTTCAGGTATTCCCTTGGTAAAAACACATGGTACATGGTATCAAACCCAAATCTCAATGTCAGGTTTAAAAAATAATAATAACCTTCCAATCAGTAAAGCCAAATAACTGCTTTAATTGACAGCTTTTTAGGACCTCTGTCTTATTCTGTTAATTTAAACATTTTAAGTAAAATAAAGTTGCAAGATATGATACCAGATGCTAGTGTCATCTTTGAAAATGTGTTAATTATTTTACACTGATTTCTTCAGGCAAATCTACAAAAATGTAAAATAAAACCTTATGACAAAGTTGATGACCTACCGTATTCTTTTTGCAGCATTTGTGGAATCCACTTGCTCAGATGTATTTGCAATAGGATCCACCAAAAACACTGAACATGTGGCAGGAACTATGTACTAAAAAAAGAGTTGTTATTTAAAACGACATCACATACAGTAACACAAATGGATTTCAGACCAGCAGCCTAGAATCACTGACCAGTAATTTCCAATGTACTCCGCCAACATTCACAAAGGAGATTATCGCTTTGTACGGGCTGAAGTCAGTCTGTAATGAAAAATATATATACATATCATTTTCAGTTGAAGTTTGTTATGTTTTCTCTTATCACTAATTAAAGGCCTTCTTTTGAAAAAAATTAATGAATGAATGTGATGTATTCAAATCCTTAAATTTGATAAAACAAAACCTTCATGCCTTTTTTTTTTTTAGATCCGGACAGGGGACTGAAAACAAGCATTACCCTTGGTAAGCTGCGTTCTCTCATTCTGTCTCGTTTGAGAGTATTACACCTGCTGTGTAATGGTTCAGAATGTAAATACTCTGTCCATGTTTACACTGGTTGACATAGAGATGGAAGAGGCCCTCCATAACCTAAATTAAAAAACATAGATAAAGACAGAAGAAGACAAAAGAAATAGAGTGGATTACACAATAATCACAGGTTTAACTAAACAATGTAAAAATACAATCCTATTGGTATGGAAAGTTATTCTTTTTTTTTTCAGAACTTGGAATACTTTTCTCAATAAAGTTTACATAACAAGTTTATTTTTGATATTTTATTGTATTGTGGGTAATGTTAGACCAACCAAATACCTCGCCTGTCAGCCATCGGTGAGGTCTCAGCGAGCACAGTTCCCTGTGATGGATCACAGGTCCACTGTGATGGACCTGGTTGTGTGAGGGCCGGGATCACAGCAACTACAGCTTCTGTGCTCTTCCTCTCCCACAGTGACTTTAGCTTAAAAACAAATTTACACATTTATACAGTCCCAATAATATCCCTCATATTAATGATACATTAAACAAAACTCTATATAATCAATCTCAAATACTGTAAGTTAAATTCCATTAACTTATGTAAAACTCATAAATGAGCTATGTCAACGTAACACCAGTCGAAAAAACAACAATACAAAAATACCTGTAATATGGTACATCCTCAGGTAATGAACCTATCACTAAATATATATTCAAAGTACATGCAAGAATGATGTGCTCATAGGGCAATGACTGAAGTAATTTCTGTTGAATATTCAAATACAGTTTAAGAATACTGCTATCAGTCATGAAGATGAATCCTACCCGCTTTTCTTCCACTTCTGACATCTTCAGGTTGTCTTCCAAAGGGGGAGGTGAAAGTATCTGAGTACATGCTCTTTTCATCTCCTTGACTGATGGTTCGTCATGGTTCACAAGGTGAACTATGAGGTTTGGTGTTTTTAATGTATTCTTCTCATGGAAGTCCTTGACTGTGGCCACTATGACGTCAGCACACAATGGTAGGGGCATGTTGAAGAGTCCAGAGCTAATGGCTGGAATGGCGACTGACTTGAAATGGTGTTTTGAGACTTGTTTTAGTATACTGTGTATGGCTTTTCTTTTTGCATTGTACAGTGCCTTTGGGGATGGATTCAGATTGAGTTGTGGGCCGACAGCATGAATTAATTTTTGTACAGGGAAGATCACCAGCGCCTGTTACAATGGCCTCTCCCGTTTTTAATTTTCCAAACTTCCCAATGTGGAGGTCACTCTCTGCTTGTATCCTTGGCCCTCCAGCTTCGCTTAATGCCAGTGCAAGCCCGCCTTTGTGTCGCAGGTCCTCATTTGCAGCAATGCTGTTGGATCGACCTTCCAGACACATAGTTCCATTTTTTGAGAAAGTTTAACTGAAAACCTCTTCACTTGTTGAACCGGAGCCGGTTTTTGTCTTGGAGACTGCAGCGGTGGTGGTGGTGGTGGTGCATCTTCCACCAAAGTGTCACTGTCTGCGACGATAGTTACCTCTCTATCAATCTGTAAACATGTTATGTATCAGGTTATATAAATATTTTGTCCTTTAGAAGTCTTGCTTTTTTACCTTTTTGAGAATTTTTAACATACACAGAAATGTAATTCTTTGTTTAGCCATAAGCCATAAGTTAGTTACAACAGTACATTTACTATAGCTTCTCCTTTGATTTTTGGAAGGTGAATGGCTGGCGGTTTGGAGTTACATATCTCCCCCTCTTTTTCTGTTGCCGTTCCTTCCATTTCTCAGTATCCACTCTGAATGTCTTCACAAATAAGTATACTATCCAAAATCATATGTAATTTGTCTCATATATGACATTTTGACAGGGTTTTATTTTGAAACTATACATCAGAATGTCTTGATACTTACTGGGTCACACTATGGGGTCGTATACTATAACCCTGAAGTGGAATTATTCTTTGATAACAGGGCGTTTCCTTTTAAATTGAATCCCAAATCATATGTAACTTAGTCTCATGTTTGACACTTTGACAGGCTTTTATTTTGAAACCAGTTCTGAGCCGGTATTACCGTAATGCTACTATAATCACGTACAGCAAAAAACTGGGTCTGCTGTAAAGAACAAATTTCCCCCAAGGATCAATAAAGTACTTCTCTATAAATATTGTTATATATTGTACTATAATGTACATACTTACTCTTATAAGTATATAGGTATATATATTATTATTTTTTCTTATTTTCTGTACATACTTATATTTTAATGTTTTATATAATTTTTACATAATTATATATAGAATCAATTCTATATTATTATTATTATTCTTTAATTTTGTGTGAGCACCTTGAGTAACTATAAAGAAACAAATTCCAAGATCAATTAAGAAAAAATAAAAACACAAGTTCAATGTTAGCCAGTACTATGTTAACGACGCTAGCTCGTTAACACAGAAACTTCTAACGTTACAAAATGTATTGATACGGTAACGTTACGGTATTAACAATCCCAAACTTACATACTTACATCCTTTACGTCCTCGACAAGGTGAAACATCTGTTTTAACCTAAAATAATGGAAATATTCACTGACTTTGTACAAACAGCGGTCAGCTAAGTCCCGCCCCCTTACCTGGACACTGACCGGTGATTGGACAGGAGGTTAATGACAACCGATAGGCTACAGAGGATGTATAATTAATATGCTCTTTATTTTAGACAAACTTTACATTAAATTACATTTTTGAATTAGTTACAATTTAAACCAACATATCTGAACATATAGGCTTCAAACACTTTCACATTTAAAATCTTGGAACAAAAAAATTAACTACTAATTTTTTGCCCTTTTGTGATTAATGTTTTTTTTCTTTCTTTTAACACTTATTTTGTAATTGCCAAAAAAAGAGAAGTTTTTTTCAATAAAAGTTAAAAAATGGGGGAAAAAAAACAATCTTTATTTGACTTAACTTTATTGATAACAGACAAATTTAAATATATAACATATTTAAAGAACAAAAAGGAAACAAAGTGGGAATTCAGTTATGAAATAAAGAAAAAGAAACAAATCACTTTCATTTTATTGTAAATTGTAACCAAAAATAGACAACTATGAAACATTTGCATTGTATTACATTATTTCAATTCAGTAATGAGATTCCTTCTCCAATCTGATTACTGGGTTCTTTTGAGTCTTTAGTTTCTTTTTAATGCATTAGGTATTTGGGCGTAACTCCCAGCCCTGGATCCATTACCTAACAGATCTGAAATCCTCTTCCACCAAGTATCTAACTAACTGTACACCTGTTCCAGACTGAATATATATTGCCTTATGTTTTTTGTCCACTCTGAGGAAGACACTGTTCCAGACCCCCACCCTTACCCCATAATAAATGTTCACTTGTGATTGTGTGACTTTTAATTATTTGTTTTTTCATTTTAATATTTAAGTCTATAGAAGAATCCTTTATTTCAAACAAAAAAACATTTTAGAGCTAATTTAATCCTCCGTATTTCATTTTTGACTTATTATGAAATCATCTTGCTTCTTTTAACAGTTTATTGTGGCTATTTTTATCTAATTCCAACAGTTTTCATTTAAAAATGTACAAAGTATTTCAAATCTTCCATGTTTATCGAAGTCTTTTAGTATCACAGTGCCTCAGTAGAGGAGCATTTTACACCTTCATTGAGTTTCTGGAGGAATGGGAAGTTCTGTGTGTACAAAGTTCACCGTAGAGGTCAGGTTTTTGTACTGAAGCAGAAAATGGAACACAAAGGATTACTCATAAAACTGGATGAAACTAGCATTTCCAGACAGGCCGGCGAGTTAGCCATTACTGCACTGTACCTCTCTCTGGTGCGTATGAGAGTTTTGTGTGTGAAGAAGTGTCTGTCTGACCGAGCTCCATCAGATTTTAGGTAGTAGTTTTAAGGGAATAGTTTCCAAATAATTCAGCAAAAAGACAATGACTTCCTTGCAACACGTGAATCTCAGAGTGAGGGGGATCAGAGACTCACCACACAGTAGACTGCAGAGTCTGGCTGCAGATATCACACAACAGATCGCACTGGTAAGTAAAGATTCATTCAGATTTACAAGCTCTTTAATCAAGTGCAAGTAAAGGGATGCAATTTAATTTCCTTTGATTAAATAAAGACAAGAGAGAAATCCCTTTATCAGGCCACAAAGAGGAACAAAGTAAAAACCCCAGTCAGTAATGTTGTTTTAACAGACTCCGATCTGAGTTAGAAGTCTTATGTTCACACTTGTGATCCTTTCCTCTCCTGCAGGGGGCGCAGAAACCCTTCAAAGAGGTGATCGATGTCAGCTCAGGTGATCCCCACAATGCAGGAATGAAGCCCGTCTCATTAGTTCGCCAGGTTGGTTTTGTTATTTGCGTTTTTATGTGATTCAGTGCACTTCAGTTGGAAAACTCTTGATAATTTGGAGGCTAGGCGATCTAGCTGTCAGTGTTTCAAGAATATTTTTTCTTCAGTTGTAATTTTAGGATATATCGGTGATCATCTGAACTGTCTGTGTTATGGTTTTATTTATTCATTACCTGGTTAAACACAGTTGTTCTTCTTATTGTCCTAAATCTGGCCTGTCAGGTCTTGGCAGTGTGTCTGTACCCTCAGCTGCTGAAAGACAACAATCTTCCTCTGGATGTCAGGCAGAGGGCTCAGAGGCTCCTGGAGGTCTGTGATGGAGGAAGTGTGGGTAAGGACTGGAAACAAAGGTCTTTTCTGTACAATGTGTCTCACTCGTGAACCCTGACAGACATTGAAAGGCATTTCAATTCGCAAAATGTACAATGATCGATCTACAGGTTCCTATACAGACTCCTCTGGCATGCCTCACGTCAAACAAAGCATCGCTGAGTTCATCATGAGACGAGACGGTGGAGTGCCTTCACACGCCAAAGACGTCTTCATTTCTGCCGGTTCTCAAAGGGCCCTGACGGTATAAAGAGTGTCATTATTACTGTATGTCATACTATAGTATAAATAAATAAGAGCTGTACAGTCATTGTAACTTTTTTCTGAGATGTTTATTGTACTGTGAATATCTCACACTGTTGCAAACCTAGTAGTGATGCACTTGAATGTGTAGGAAAATGTTTAATTTATTTTGCCATTTCAACATATGTAAAATAAAATAAAAAAGAGTTCACAAGTTAAAAGCCCAGAATGTGAAACATGGAACAATTAAGCAGTCGTTGAATCAATATACAGTAAGTTTAGTATATTGATCTGTTAAGGTGGGTGTGAAGTTGCTGGCCAGTGGCGAGGGGGAGACTCCGACAGGCGTGCTGACCCCAACGCCCTGCCCGCACACCCTGCCCATGCTGCTGGACGAGGCCGGGGTGACGCCGGTGCCGTACCAGCTGATGGAGGACCGAGGCTGGGCTTTAGACCTGGACGAGCTGCACCGAGCTTTGAAGACCTCCAGAGGGCGCTGTAAGCCCAGAGCCATTTACATCAGCAACCCAGGAAACCCCACAGGTAAACCACATACAGTAGCTACATTAAAGCCACCTGTTTAAACTTCCGTACGTATGTCATCACTCTTTGTCTGCTGCTGTTTGTCCCCCTAGGTCATGTGCAGGACAGGAAGTCGATACAGGAAGTGATTCAGTTTGCAGCAGCTGAGAGGCTCTTACTGTTGGTTGATGAGGTGATCACGAACCGTACCTTCAGATTGGGATTTCATTCAGTAACTGTCTTTCATTACCTATACATTCCTTTCCTCTGCACTCCAGGTGTACCAGGACAGCGTGTATGGACGGGGCAGAGAGTTTAAGTCCTATAAGAAAGTCCTGTTTGAGATGGACAAAGAGTTCTCAGAGACAGTGGAGATGATCTCCTTCCACTCTCTATCCAGCGCCTGCGTGGGAGAGTGAGTTCTGTCTCTTAAACTCATCAGCAGATGTTAATCTCTTTCATTTTGTTGTTGTGTGTTTGCTGACAGGATCATACAACAGGTAGCTTCAACCACTCATACACAGTGCATGCTACAGGGATCACAGTGATTCCTATAAAACCCAATGCTGGTATTATTCTGGATTTTGCTTGCTGAAAATAATACCATATAGTCCATCTCTCAATATAACCTCCCAATCCTGGCTGTGGCTCTCAGCTTCAAGCCCAACTGGTTCCAACTGAAGACGAAGACCAGTGTTGTACTAATATATAATACATATTAACTCACCACTCTTCAGCACCATGGGTGACCCTTGAATGACAAATCTCTTCCATAAAAGCAACCACGAAAACAATGGAGCTATCTATGTACTGAATTCTGTACCTTCTGTGTCCCAGGTGTGGTCTGAGGGCAGGATACATGGAGGTGGTCAACATGGACCCAGAGGTGATGCATTTTGTCGACACTATGCTGTGCAGCGATATCAGTGCTCCAGTCACAGGACAACTTGCTCTGGATATCATGGTCAACCCACCGAAACCTGGAGACCCTTCCTATGGCACGTACACACAGGTGACACATCTGCAGAACATTACTTCATTACATTATTAAAAAGTCCTGCTTCAAGACGTCCTACTGTCCCCTCTGTTGTTCTCTTTTACGAAGGAGATTCTCCTCACGCGGGCCTCTTTGTCCCAGAATGCTCAGCGGGCTCAGGAGTTCCTGAGCGATCTACCAGGGATGAGCTGTCAGCCGGTGATGGCGGGAATCTACCTGTATCCCCGCCTGCATTTACCATCTGAGATTATAGAGCAGGCCAAGGTGGGAAAATATTACAAAAACCTTCATATGTGTAAGAAAATGTGGCAGCAGCTGGTATTTAGAGTGCAGTGTTTTTGCATGTTTTAAAGACATTTAGCAAAAACTATATAACATTTCTATTGGTACAATTTTTAAAAGTTATGAAGTCATGTTGTGTCACTAAGGTGGTGACTTTTGGTTGCAGTTCTTCTTTTGCATATTTTGCATATACAGTGTAACAAGCCGTTTGCCAATTTAGACATTTTTATTTGCATTTAATTCACAAAATTAGAGGAGCAGAATCACCTCAAGTGACCCAAAATGTTTGTCACAGTGAGTTCGATCATGATTTTTCACATATTCTAGCGCAGTTCTAAAACTGCTTTTATAACAAGTTCCTTTACCAATTATTCTTTTTAAAGTACAACCATGAAATGCATCCTACTTATACATTATTAAAGCTGAACTTCTGCCAAAATACAAAAACTTCATGTGAAAATGTGGCTTACATTTCCAGTACAACAATATCCGGTGTCTGAAAATACCCTCAGAATCCAGGAGGTTATGTTTTGTTTTATTTTTTTCTTCAGCTTAATGTAATTCGTTTTAGCATTCATTCTGATGTCTCTGTCTCTAGATATTGGAGGTGGAGGCAGATGTTCTGTACTGTCAGAGGTTACTGGAGGAAGAAGGAGTGTTTGTAGGAGCTGGATGTCAGTATGGTGAAACAACTGGCAAACACCATCTGAGGTGAGAGAGCTGAAGTTTGATAAATTAGCCATGTTTGTTTCATTTTCTTTGAAAAATCGACTGTGATTTCTCTCTGTCAGGTTATGTATCCTTGTTCCTCCCAACACCCTGGAGGAGGTCCTGGCTCGCCTTGGTTCCTTTCATCTACGTCTTATGGATGCACTTTCTCACCCTGACAAAGCTGTGAGGGACTGAGACTTATTAGACGTACTGTGACCTAATACGTAGGCCTCTGTGACTGAAGTGGCAAGCATTTCTAAAGGCTCATGGTTTTTTGCTCAAAGGAACACAACAGAGAAAAGAATCCACACCCTCAAATTTGTTCAGAAATCTTTTGCTCTTCTTTCTTCTTCTCTTTACACAGAGTTAAAATATTCTCTTTTCACAGACAGATTCGTATATAGCCTAAAACAACTAAAACAGAGGAATAACAAACATGTATAAAAGAATGTCCTCATTAATGTATACCCTGCTGCTAGTGTGGTTTAAAACACTGACTCATTAGCATCTCCACAGTTTCAGTGAGATATCTGAAGAGCCTGCTCCTCCAGCCTCCACACGCTCCGGTTCTGCTGCTGTATGTTCACCCTGGAGGGTCTTTGTCTGTTAATACCGGTGGGGCTGTACCTTATCATTTGCTCCTGTGTAATTTTGCAAACATCTAACTGATGTTACAAAATGTACACGAGGATTTGGTGGCAAAAACTGAATTTTAAAATCATAGGTGATGCCAGATATTTACATCAGATTACAATTTTTCATACCCTTCCAGTCCAGTTAAACCATGTACAGTATCTCTCTTAAATTTGGTGATTTTTAATATATAAGGAACTATGTACTATGAACTTGTAGATGTAAACCAACCAAAAAGTAATTTTTCCTTCTCAAATTGATTGATGTAAAGTGTTTTTATAGGCTCTTAGAGGTGAAAGTATCCAGTGCTTCCAGCTATAGAATGCCATACATTTAATATAGGAATTATTAAGGAATCAAGGACATGTATTCATCATTTTACAACTTAAGGTTGTATAACAAAATGAAAGTATGTTGTCCCTTTATGCTACATACACAGAAAAAGACAATTAAATTCACAGAACATAAAAAGATTAATAAAATAGAATAAAAAAACATTTGCATGCAAAAAATGCCAATAGATCCTCCTAAGTGCCACACACTTGACCTTTAAATGTTTAATCTATTGTCCTTGTTGCACATTTATTACCCTGTAAAACACTGAATTGCCCTGGTGTGATGAAATGTGCTGTGAAAATAAAGTTGCCTTGCCATGGGGCATTGGTCTGCACGCCCTGCTCGACAGGTTTTATGCCGTCACCAAGCTTTTTTAAGGTGTCAGTGTTGAGCTTCTCATTGAGACCTGTCTGACAGTGGAGATGAGTTCTGTGCAGGAGATGAACCCCAGGGTCCGGGGGATCAGAGCCACAGTGAGCCTGCAGAGTCTGGCTGCACGCCTCACAGAGGAGATCATGCAGGTGAGTCGCAGCAGGTGTAAATACACCTGTAATCTGAGCAATATACGCTGCTGCAGCCGATTCAGACGACTGCATTAAAACATTTTATCATTCAGGACAAAGGTTCTCAAGCGGAGACTGAGGATTTCAGAGCTGTGGTGGGAGACATATATTCAGATCGATTACTTAAAAAGTAAAAGTATCAATACTACAATTTAAAACACTCCAATACAAGCACTATATGGCCTTTTATATTTTAACTGCAAAAGCTAGTTTTAATGATAAAAATACTCCTGAAGAATGAAGTCTGTCAGTGTTATAATCCCGGTTGGGAGGGTTACTTTAAAGATAAGATTTTAGTATCCTCCATAAATATAAGAAGGTATAAATATAAAATATCTATAGAATACCCACTGTAAAGAATATAATAGAATACAATAAAATATAAAAAAACAGAAAATAAACAGGATAAAGTAGACAAGTGTGCAGAGGAGTATGAAACTATGCAGATTCACCATGTGCAAAGTTATTAATGGAGCAGAACAGAGGAGTTGGTTGAGACAGTAACTATAAAGCTGAGAGTTGTCTTTCAGACAGAAGTGAGGCGTTGCAGAGAGTCACTGCTTTGGGTTGGAAAGATTTCCTCTGTTTGTCCTTGTGATAAAGAAGCTGTTAGAGAAAGTACTCCTCTGTTTGTTAGTAGGTTGTGTAACTACTTTATATACAGCCGTATAGTTTAATCTGTAACAGTGCATTTTATAGACTGATCACAGGTTTTGTAATTAAAGTAACTTGTAAACAGTGTTGGGCTAGCTACTCAAAAAGAGTATTACTGGTTGCTCTTTTCAAAAGAAATAGTATTACTTTACTCATTATCTCTGCCAACAATAGAAGTTATTATACTTTTCATTATGTCCTTTCTCCCCAAAATTCAGACCTTGCATGGTTGCCTCTGTGTGTCAGCTAACTGTGTAACTAACAGGTTTTTTTCTGCAGCCTCTGAATCCATACAAATGTTACAGGCTAGATGAAAAGCACACCTGGCTCAACTGTCGGGGTTGAAAAATACAACCAAGCTTGTGTCAAACCCACATTGTGTTTTTCTCAGGGAGCCAAGAAACCCTTCAAGAAGGTGACTGATGTCAGTTCAGGTGATCCCCAAAGGGCGGGAATGTCTCCCATCTCATTTGTTCGCCAGGTTGGTGTTTTTATATTTTATCTGTGTGTCTACCTGCTGTCCTTGTTTTCATGCCCCCTTGTGATCGGTCTGACAGCTACAACCTGAGCCTTTCTGTGCCTGTCATCCCTCTGTTTGTTTCCTCAGGTCTTGGCAGTGTGTTTGTACCCTCAGCTCCTCAAAGAAAAAAGCCTTCCTCTGGATGTAAGGCAGAGGGCACAGAAGCTTCTGGGGTCCTGTGGTGGAGGCAGCGTGGGTGAGAATGAATAATATTCAGTCATTTGTATAGAGAAACTAATAGTAGTTCACAGAAGTTCTTTGACTGCTCTAATGGCTTTCCTCTTTGTCGGTGGCAGGTTCGTACTCTAAAACCTCCTGCGGTATACCACACGTCCACAAAAGTGTTGCTGAGTTCATCACGAGGCGAGATGGTGGAGTGAGCTCACACCCGGAAAACATCATCTTCTCTAGTGGTTCTCAGAAGACTTTGTCTGTACGATGAGTTTATTTTGGAGCATTATTTGTTTGATTTATAGCTGTAAGGTAATTATTAATGGCTATAATACACAGTCTCTCACAATAAATAAGCTGTTAATATAACCTCCTTAATAATCATCTATTTAAAAATTGTGATGTGAGCTATTGACACAGCCAGGATAAAGAAGTTGAACACTCTTACAAAACACTTTAATGCAGAATAAAAGCATGTTGTTAATGGTATTGTTACTGTGTTAAGCTGGTTTTGCACCTGATGGCCAGTGGCGAGGGGGAGACTCAGACAGGCGTGTTGACCCCGGTGCCCTGCCCGCATACCCTGCCCATGCTGCTGGATGAGACCGGGGTGGCGCTGATGCCCTACCAACTGATGGAGGGCCGAGGCTGGGCTTTAGACCTGGATGAGCTGCACCAAGCTTTGAAGACTGCCAGGGGGCGCTGTGAGCCCAGAGCCATTTACATCAGCAACCCAGGAAACCCCACAGGTAAAGTACAGCTACATGGTTTCATCTCCCTACTATACTCTTTGATACTCACTATTATTTGTCCTGCTAGGTCATGTGCAAGACAGGAAAACCATGGAGGAGGTGATTCGTTTTGCTGCAACCGAGGGCCTCGTCCTGTTGGCTGAAGAGGTGATTACGGAAGGAAACTGACATCTAAGAGACGTTTGTTCTCATCAGTTTTTAGTCTTTTTTTCATGTCTCCTTCCATCGTCTAGGTGTACCAGGACAGTGTGTTCGGACAGGGCAGAGAGTTCTTATCCTATAAGAAAGTCCTGTTTGAAATGGGAAAAAAGTACTCAGAGACAGTTGAGTTGATCTCTTTCAACTCGATATCCAGCGCCTCTATGGGAGAGTGAGTATCACATACCTTTCCTTAGCCAAATATGTGACCCCCAACACTCGTTGCTCTTTGATTTGACCACATAGCCTACTCATTCCCATTTGAAAGACGAAATTATCTTGTACATTAACATACAGTAAAAAAAATACTGTTGCGAGATGACAGACAATAAAAACAGACATTCAGGGTTTCCATGCATCCTGCAAACGGGGGATTACAAACAGGGTGTGTCACTTGGTGTAGACTTTGGGAGTTGTCTCTTTTCAGACCTTTTACGTGCACAAAAAATCTATATAATACACTAAAAAACAAGGGAAAAAAACCCAAAGCCTCTAACGTGGCCTCTTTAATGTTATGGACAGATCATAATCTGGGTTGTTTAATAAGAAATGAGAATGAGACCTATTTAACCTTATTTTTACAAAGTCCTGACTTTGTATGCCTAACATCCACCTCAACTGTCTCCCTTCGTTGCCAAATAAACAAAGAGCCATAAAAAGAATAAAGTGAGGTGAAATATTCCCTTCAGGTTCAGTCTGAATGCACCCTTAGCCTAATAAAAGACAAACTGTATCTTTTCTGTCCTCATTGTACTCACCCTGTGTGTAGGTGTGGTCTGAGAGGAGGTTATATGGAGGTAATCAACATGGACCCAGCAGTCAATAATTATTTGAGAAGTATGCAGGGAACCTCCAGCCCTCCAGTTTTACCTCAGCTCGCTCTGGAGGTCATGGTCAATCCACCCTCACCTGGAGATCCGTCCTATGAAACATACACACAGGTAAATCACCACTTCAATAACTATGTGTATTTTTACTATATTGTTATTGAAAGAGGGAAAGTGCCCCGATCTTGTTTGTCTGTTATTAATTAGTAGACAGATTTTATTAATGCATTATTTAGATTGATTTGTTTTTCGTTTGGATTCAGGAACATTTTTCATTACTTTACGATACAAGGACAGAGCACCTTAATGGACCTTAATATAAAGAAGTGTAAGCATGTCAGAGTTAGCAAGAATGCTAATTTATCAGAAGTCCTTAATTAAACTAATTAAGACAACAACCGGAGGGGTATAAGTCGGCCTATTAAAACAAAAATATTTTGCATTTTCATGATCACATCCTGAAATGTACTCATGATGGACATCAGGTTGTGAAACAGTTTATGTGAAGCATTTTACAAGTTCAAAATCTTTTTAAAACTTGAAAACAGGTCTGATGAGAGCAGCGAGATTAAACCAAAACATTAAAGCCTACAACACACAATCATTTTTAACTGTAAAAATATTCATATAATAATTTATACATAATATATCAGTGCAGCTTTAAGTTACTGCTTTGACAGTTGGTGACTGGCGTTTGTCCTTTTTTCTCAATCGAAGGAGATTCGTCGCACTCTGACAACTCTTTCCCAGAATGCTCAGCGTGCTTGTGAGTTCCTGAATGATCTACCAGGGATGAACTGCCAGCCAGCGATGGCGGGAGTCTTTCTTTATCCCAGTCTGCATTTACCACCTCAGATGATAGAGGAGGCCAAGGTACAGAAACCAGCTGCACTCACTGGACCTTCAGTCCTCAGGTTTTACTACAGTTTATGGACATTTTGTTTCCCCCTCTGGCAGTGGGAGTAATTACACAAACACAAAAGACAAGTGCAGTCCACCACAGTGTATTATACAGTCAGTGCTCAATACAAAACACACAGTTCAGCTTAAAATAGTGAGTCCTTATCTCAAAAATAACTCTGGAGTTACAGCCTGGGAGCCGGACCCGCCGATTAAAACCGCTAAAAACACTGAATAATGCAGTACCACCTTAAAAATCACTGCTTTTCCCCTTACCCTTTACCCTTGCAGGTAAGAAAGAAGGTCATGCATCTGTTTCTCGAAGATCTGATAGATGATATAATGCACAATACAAACCTGTATGCACTCCAAAAAGGAAAACCAGTGTTGGATGCACTCAAGGAAACCTTCCATTCAGCAGTCGATCCTGAAGAACCAAAAAGCCCAAACCCTGGGTTTGTTGAAAGTTTCGGTGAGAGCAGGATCCTCTGGATACATGTACAGATTTGAAGCCTATCGGGGTTCAGCTGGGGGGCGAGGTCTGATCATTCAGTTGGGAATGGCTGGAGACGTAGTCAAGCGCCTCTGTGACGACATACAGCAAAAGAATCACAAGGTGTTTTTTGACAAATTCTTTTGCACCATTCCACTCCTTCAGGCATTTCGACACCAAGGGACCTATGGCACTGGCACATGCAGAAACAACAGGCTTCATGGAGCACAACTGAAACTGAAGGGTGAAAAGCAACTAAAGCAAGAAGGAAGAGGATCTATGTCTGTTGTCACCAATGCTCAAAACATCACTGTCACACGTTGGTTAGATAGTTCAGTGATTCACATGGCCTCTTCCTGCACCATCAGATGTGGCCCAGAGATGGAGCAAGAAAGAAAAGAAGATACTAAACATCCCATGGCCATTTTCCGTGAAGCTGTACAATCAGCATATGGGAGGAGTAGATCTCATGGATCAGTGCGTTGCAATGTATCCCCACAGACGCAGAAACAAACGGTGGTACATCTGAGTGTTCTTTCACTTCCTTAACGTGACCACTGTGAATGCCTGGCACCTCTACAGAATGTCTGGGTTGGAACAGAAGGATCTTCTGCGCTTCAAGGCATCTAGAGCTTGTGTGCTCATAAATGCAGGATCCATCAAAACTCTTTTCTCATGATTTTATTTTCAGAGCATGTCAAAAGCAGTTGAGATGATGTTGTCAATGATGTTGATTATCAACCCTCGCCACGGTAGCAGAGCAGCAGTGAGGAGGACAGTAGTGGAGATGAGGACCCCATTCCACAGCCCACTGAGCCTAGCAGGGGACGTAAACATCTCTGTGGTGAAAATGATGGTACAGGTTCAGACCATGACGTTGCCAGATCACACACTCCCAGACGTCGCCGTTGGACTCACCAGGTTGAGGCTGATGGCTCAAGTGTTGGCCCTGAAGAGCCAACACCAGGACCAAGTCCTCAAGAACAGTCCAAGAAAGGATGTGGAATGTGCTGGAGGGCTACTCTGTTGACGCCAAACCTAGCCCAGTTTGAGAATGAGGAGGAAACTGAGCAGGACAGACAAGGCTGGACCCCACTGGACTATGTAGAACAGTATATTGATAAAGATTTGATGAAAATTATTGCAGATTGCTCTAATGCTACGTCACTGGCTAGAAGTGTGGATCTACTCAACACATCAGTTGACAAGATTTATCTTTTTTTTTGGTGCCTGTATATTGTCCTGAGTCCCATACCCAAAAATCAGGATGTACTGGTCCAAAGCCTTGAGATACCCTGCTATCACTGAAAGATTCACACGCAACAGATTTTCCAGACTGAGGCAATCACTAAAAGTGCTCATTGATGATGACGTTCCACAAGATCTGAGGGAGAGTGACAAATTCTGGAAGATGATGCCTTTCCTGGATTGCATTCTGAAAGGATGCAGGTCTCAGGCTTGACCCAAATGCATGTCTATTGATGAGCAGATGATCCAATTTACAGGAGCCTGTCCGTGTCGATCTGCCAATGAAGCCAAACCCAGTTGGCATAAAGAACTTTGTTTGCGCTACAGCAGATGGCATTGTGCTGGACATCAAAGTGCTGCTGCACTGCTTGAGCAGGTCGAAGAACCAGAGGGTCTGGGTTTGGGAAGTTGGTAATCGCTCGCCTGTGTTAAACTCTGCATCCTGGTAGTGAAATGTGACCGGTTCTTCACAACCATCCATGGTGTTGAACGAATGATGAAGAAGGAGGTGTACATGGCTGGTACAGTTATGAAGAATTGGGTAGCTACAGCAGTGCAGAAACTGCCAACTGACAAAACAATGAAAAAAAAACGGAAGAGGTACCTCAGCAGAAGTTATCACTGAAGATGGAAAGGTGTGCGTAGTGAAGTGGTATAAAAATTAACCGGTATTGATGTTGTTTGTTGTTCACGGTACACAGCCAGAAGACACCTGCCAGCCATGGGACAAGAAATTGAAATGCTATGTGACTATCTCGCGACCAAGCATTGTCCATGATTACAACTCCAAGATGGGTGGGGTTAACTTGGTAGACAGGATGATGAGTTACTATTGCATGAGCGTCCGTACTAAGAAGTGGACAATGCCGATGCTAATGCACTTCACAGATCTGGCTTTAGCTAACAGCTGGCTACTGAACCGCAAAGACCTTACTGTATATGGTACACCAAAGAAGAGCATCATGCAGTTCCTTGAGTTTCGTATGGAAGTGGCAAAGACCTTCTTGGCCCAGCATGACAACGGGGAAGACGACGGAGACCTTTCGGAGCAAGGGAAAAAACGTCCAGTGAAGGCAAGGCCCCATATCTCAGTCTGCAGGAGGGCTAATGCAGATCTTCCAGAGGTAGTCCACCTGAAGAATGTAGCGCACTGCAGAGCGAAAGGCTGCTCTGGGAAAACTCAAGTGCAGTGTGTGACCTGCAAGGTGTTCCTGTGCTTGCAAGGGAATCACAGCTGTTACACAGCTTTTTACACATATGTCTGAACAACTTCCTACAGAAAAAAGGGCATTCCTAGTAGTAGTTTTAGTTTTGGAGTGTAAGTAAATGACAAGGCTTTGTTAAATGTTTCTTGCAAATTTTGTGGAACAGTGACAATGAGCTTTTTGATTTTGACATGTTAAATGATGTCTTCCTGCAACTGTTTTTAGCACTTAAAAAAAGAAATATTTTAAATATAAAATTTTAAAAGAGGCAAATTTTTTGTTTTTTTGTTTTTTGCACTGTGATGTTCAAAACATGTTCAAAAACTTGTTCATATGTGTTATGAATAAATGCAAAAGAAGTCAGGAAAAACACTGCTGTGTTCAGGGTGGAAATAAAGAGTTTTGCACTTTATTACACAATGGTGACTTTATTGTGTTCTATGGAAATTCAAAACGAGTGCCCCTGTATGTGGACATAATTTTTCTCAAAAACTACATCATGTCAGAAGATGATGCTTAGTTTTTATACTTATCAGGTCCCAATAAGCCCAAAATAAAGAGAAATAAAAAATGCATTCTAAACAAGAGCTTGGGTCTTGGTAGAAATACATATTTCTACAAAAATGCATGCTGTCCACCTGAGTGGACATGTAAATATATAAGTTCAAACCTTGTTTTTTGATGCCTAAAGATGAATAAAAACACAACATCCTAACTAAGGTTATCATAAAGCTGTGATTTTAGCAGTAATTCGATCGGGAAAATATTTTCAGAACTCCATACTCTCAGCTGCTGTTAAGTCATGAACAGTTGATACAAGTTTTCATTTCAGATGTTGGGGGTGGAGGCAGATGTACTTTACTGTCAGAGGTTTCTGGAAGAGGAAGGTGTGTGTTTGGGATCGGGCTGTGAGAACGGACAAGAGGATCAAAACTACCATATCAGGTACGACAAACAGCTGTGTGCAGAAAGAGGTCAGTTTTTGATTTTTTGAAACATGACGACATTCAAGGAAAGTGAACGCTTTTTTAAATGTCAGGGCAGTTTAAAGGGTGGCAGAAATATATGCTGATTTAATTGCAAATCATCACGTATCAATATTAGCTTGATATTTAAACTCAAAAACATTAAATTATTGTGGCATTGAATAGAAATATCTAATGAATAAATAGTTTTATTTCAAAATCTTCAGACATTTTCCCAATATTATAATAATGTCCTTTTTCAGTGAACTTAAACAAATCACTTGAGTCTGAAATGTGGTCATAACTATAGCCAGTTAGTTATGACTTAATTAGAATTAATCTTACAGTTAAAGAAACCCAATTTAAAAACAAGCTAATGGGGAGTCTCTCATAAACACTGACCAAGTGCTGTTGTGTATTGCCAAGAAAAACTTGTGGAAGATGTCCTGGAGAATGATTTCTTAAAACGTGTGTGAACCCAGTAAATTTGTGTGAAATCTGACAGCATTTGACACCAAACTGGTGTGGCAGCTCTGGATCCGTTCCTGGTATTCAGAGCTGCTGTACAAATAAAAGGTATTATCATAATTGTTATCTAATTCAGGAAATGTGGGTGATACAGGATGTACTCCTGCCTGAGGACTATTCAAGGTGGAATACCTGTTGAATTAAGTCAGTTATTCCCACTTTAAGCATAGGTGTATATGTAGGTATGCATATTGATGCAGTGCTTTGTGTGTTTTCCCTCGCAGGCTGTGTGTTTTGGCTCCTCCTGCCACGCTAGAGGAGGTCTTGGCACGCCTTCGTTCTTTCCACCTGCTCCAGCTGGGCAGATTTCCCTGACAGAAATGTCAAGGACACAGACTTTTGGGAATAACACCAAAACCTGATTTACATGGTTGTCCTCCAATGACTGTAACACTGTTTTCTTTCTTTCATTTTGTTTACTGCCAATTGTTTAAATTACCACTGTCAATAAAAGGAATAACTTACTTATTGATCCTGCAAAGAGCAAAATGTACTTTCCTTTTTAATTCCTTTAATAAGAAACTAATTCAATGCGTTTTACATTTAATCCAAAATTATTTTTAAAGTTTGTTTGCCTTAACCCATAAAGCAGTGTGTATTTCCTTTTTTCCTCACATGATGCCTTTTCTATTGGTAAGTAAACTGTCAACACCTGAATGACAGACATATTTTATGTATATTTAATATTTGTTTAATACATAACAATAACAGTACAGAACAACAACACAGAACTGAGCAATTTGGATGGATTTTGAACAGATTATTTCCTGTGAATATTATTATCAGAGATGAGTTTACCAAAACTTTTTAATAAAAATTCTCTCTGTATTATGTATTTATTTTTTTAACATACTTCAAGGTCCAGTGTGTAGGATTTAGTGGCATCTCGCTTTACCCTCCCCTTCCTTGCACATGCAAGGAGAAACTGCGGCAGCTGCGAAACATAGGCATGAATTAAATTCTGAGATTTTTGAAATAGGCCTACTGTGTATTTTACAGTACATGAAGCTTTAGCAGACCCCTAGTGGGAGACCAGTGCCATAAAGGAACACCTAATGAATGAATCAATCAGATGTTTTTATATTGCCCTTTCGATACAAGCAAAATGTAACACAATTAACAGTTAAAAGGGCCATCTATTGGCCCTGAGTCATCAGGAGATGCAGCTATGTAAAGCTGCATGTCATCAGCATAGCTATGGATATTGATGCCGTACCTCCTGATGATGTTTCCACGTGGCAGCATGTAAAGGTTAAAAAGGGTAGGGCCTAAAATTTGACTTTGGGGAACACCACAATTTAGGCTGGACAAAATTGCATAAAAAGTTCCCTAAACAGGAAATAATCTGCTCACAATTCATTCAAATCACTTGTCTTACACAAACATTTTGCAGTTACTGAATTCACTGTTTGAGAATTTGTCACTTACATTAAAAATGACTCCTCGAAAGGCAAATGTTGTGCAAACCTTTCAAAGAATTGCAGAAATACAAATAAAAAAATATATTTTCTGATCTTCTTAAGCAAATGCTTGAAGGGGAAATATGTTTTCTCTCATAATAAATGTTATCTGATTGTGGGTGAAGAAATCAGAGTGAACATATAGATTTTATTAAAAACTGTCACAGTTGACAGCACTAAAGTAGACACAGAAGATCAGTTAGCAACTGTACTTACTATGTAGCCTTTTAATCATTTACATGTTTGTTCAGTCAGCTCATGTTTATCACATCCAGCTGACTGAAAACCTTTACATGCAGGTGGACAGCAGCATCACACCATCAATACATGTCTGAAGCATGCTCACTACACCATCATGTCGTCTTCCTGGCATACACATAAACAAGCCTTTATCATTATGGAGTAAAAGCAGCTTATTGCCAAGTGAGTATAAGAAAAGATTCTTCTGTTTCATGACTTCTTTTACTACTACTATACTCAGCATATAGAGCATACATACCCAGCAAACTGTGAAACTGATTAATATACCTTCATTTTATACTCTTAAATTGATTATGAACCTACACAAAACAGAACAGTTTTAAAAAAAGAAAATAAACAGTGTTTTGATCATTTACAGTCTTATAGGGATTGGACACATCTAAGTATTTTGAAATCAATAATCTACAATTTAAATGTGATTTAAATTTGTGACTTAAGCTTACTCAAATCAAATCGCACATATTTCTCTCAGAAGCTGAGAGAGCAGTGGCAGCCTACTGTTACTGCGTCTCTGCTAAGCTAACCTTTAGCAGGAGTGGACAGTGGACAATCAGTAGAAAGTTTCGCTTTAGCTTTAGCTCAAGGCCCTGACACCATCGGCCAATGTCAGTGAGTGTCTGTAGCCCTGGTTTTTGCTGTGCGTTTTGCATGGATGGAACTTGTCGGCCCTCGACTGAGCGTGTTGAATTGGCAGGGGTGAGAGAAATCACTCTGATGGGCGGTTCAGCTTCAGTGAATCAGTGCAGGAGAAGAGAAACTGAAGTTGGCAAAGTGGTAAATGACTTTGTCAAGAGGGGACACACGAAATGATCGTCTTAAATTTATATTTCATCTTTTCAAATACACGGATATTTCCTGATTAGAAGCAGCTGCTTTAATGAGCGAGAATGGACAAACTTCCATCCATAGGGCTGCTTTTGTTTATATCCACAGTCTTAGGTTTTCCAGTGTTCTTCTTTGAATGACGAAGTAATCTTATTCTCATTGGAACAAGTTGCCCTAGTTTTTTAAGAGTTGTACAAAAAATAAGCTTCTTTCTCACGCAATAGTAAAGCTGCCATGAAATCAAGCATTTTAGGCCGACAACATTCTAACATACATTCATCTATAAAAATCCTGACTGAACAAAGCTAAAGAAAGTCAATGAGTGTTTCTCATAACAACTCAAGAAAGAAATATAAGAATGGAGGTCAGAAAAATAATATTATTTCATAGTAAGTTATTCTTCTTTTATCAATGAGTCCCATGAAAAAGAGTCTGATCTTTTACTGGGAGTCATTAACTGTTGGAAAATAATTCTATACATTGCAAATTTCAATTTTGAGACAATTATACCCCCGATAAACATGCACTAACTCTTCTGTAATAATGAAATACTACAAATCAAAACATGCACTATACATAGGCATCTTCCTCTTCTCATTGCCCACAGTATCCTCTATTAGCTACTGTCTGTATCTCCACAACGCTAAATCATAACACTTCAGTAACTAAACGAGTCTTACTTACCATTCTGTGATATTAAACTTTTCCCCACAGTTGGAGAAACATTAGGAGTACAGACAGTTTCATTCTCCTTTGGCAGACGTTGTGTCCTGAGCAGAATTCCTGTTTGTTTGTTTGTCCCCAGTTTGAGTCCTCAGGCAGCAAAGAGGTTCCCAACATGGACTGCCCAGTGGGAGTGAACAGTGCACGTTGCATTATAACACAGCAGTTCCACAAGTGCTCTCATACAGCATCTTTTGTGCATTCACATTCAATTAACATACTCACATATTTGTTCAGTATCCGATCAATTTAATCAAACGTTCTAAAGGAATACATGTTCATAGTCAATAGGTTAAGTTGTTTAAATCAATTACAGTGATTATTAGAAATAACCTTTGTTCAAACAGTTTGCTTTGCTAATATTGACTATTGAATGTTTGTCCAATTCAGGAGGTCAGGGTGGATAGTTGGGTGTACCAAGCACAGGACTTTGATACTGGATTCCACGTGTTTTTAAGTCATTGACAATGATTTCTTTGTATAAAACAGACACCCACACACAAAAAAAGTAAAGTCGAAAGTAACAATGTGCAACCTCCGTTCAAAGTCAAATTATACTAAAATCATTCCACATTTGTACAAATATGCACCTGGTATTGACAAAATTGAAGCCCAGCCCAGTAACACAAACATTTTCATCTTCAACATCTTTTGACAATATTGACAGTTTTTCTACAAATTAACCACAGGCTTCTAAAAACACAAAAACCTTTTCAATGCCTTATGGCAGTCCTCATGTCTTACCATGTCTTTGTTCCAGCTCTGCACATTTGATCTTACTGAGGTCTTAATGCTGGCTAACAACATTAACACAAGGTAATCTAAATGTGGAAGGCGTCCTGGCTGCTCAGCAACAAAAAGAGAAAGTCCTAGGACATCAGCCCTTTTATATTCTCTCCATGTACAGCCAACTAACTCTGACGGTCCTCTGGCACTTGGAGAGAACTAGAGAGGTAGGAGGGGCTGCCATAGAGAAACATGTTATTCAAAAAAAAGGATATGTAAAAAATAACCACTTTTAGTGGACATAATAGTACATTTCCCCACAAGGATTAATGTTATGTTGCAGCCTGTTAAGACCCCTAAATACTGTATGTAAAGGCCCAAGTTTAAAAATACACACATTACGCTTTTAGGGTAGCTGAACTAACTTTAAAATGAAGTTAATAAGTTAATAACTTGGCATAAGAAATAACTTAACAAATTTCAAAGGGGAGAAGACTTGTATTCCAATTCAGCTAAGTAAAATGTATAGTATTTTAGTATGAAATAACACAAGGGTATTTTTTTCACAGAAAAATCAAGAATTGTGTGTGTTGGGAAAACAAATGAAATATGTAGACAGTGAACATTTTGATGTTCAGTAGGAACATTTTGCATTGGCAATGAACATTTCCATTTCCATTGCCTATTTCATTAGGAGGTTCCTCAAGAATCAAGATGGGAAATAAAGACTTGGTGAAAATATAAGTTTTATTAAAATTACCAATTATCAGTCCAGACTTTCTAACTTTGCTTAATGCGTTTGTTCAGCCAGCTTATATGTATCACATCCAGCCGACTACAAAGCTTTACAGGCAAGTAGGCAGGTCCACCACACCATCAACACATGTCTGACGCAGGCTCAGTACGCTGTCATGTTGTTTTCCTCGAATACACGTGAACTCAATTTGATCCTTATGGTGAACATACAGTTTTTTTTTATCTGTATATCTGAAGACAACATTATTCTGGCTTTCTTGTACATCCACAGTGCAGGGCTCTGCGAGAGATGACAGATAAATAACATTTTATAAATGTCAAGAATCACTGCTAGTCTTGGAGTAACATATTATGTGTTAATACTTATATAGACTCTACATATAGAGCATAAATACCCAGAAAACTGTGAAACAGGTTATATTGCCTTCATTTTATACCCTTTTAGATTGATTATTAATCTACATAAAATAATGCACTCTTTCTTTAGGCAGTCTTCAGAGGAAAACACAGCATCATCAACAGAAAAACACAACAATCACTGGTTATGTGTAATGGCTCAACATGATTAATATATAAGTCCCACCAGGAAGTTGTGACGTTGCAAAGGAAACAATCAACTAAATTCTTGTGAATTCTGTAACCCTTCTGCAAATTTGACCAAACACTATAGTTTCCCTGGTGTGTCACCAATCACAGCAGTCCCCTGTGCAAAACTGGTGAATCATACATCACCAAAATACCAACAATGTTATTCTAACTGGAACAAGTTGCCTTCGATTTCTCATTCATCATTCAAAAGAAAAACAAATTGCAAAAAACATTGCAACACGTATCTCAATTTGTAAAATTGTCAGGAAATCAAGCATTTTTGGCCACCATAACCTCAAAAAAGTCAGCAAACTCAGGGAAAGACTGATAAATTATGTTTATATTAATTAAGCTGCTTCATGCAAACACTGGTAACCAAAATCTGTTTAAATTTCTGATGCAAAATCCTCACAGAATGTATCATGAAAAACAAAAAGGGATTTGTAACTCACTGAGGCATTTCATCTGTCCAATCCATTTACCATCGAAGCAGGTTTGTGGCCCACCCTCTATAGTGTAGTAATTCTGACAGACGTATTCAACCTTTTCATTATGGCTGTAATTTGTTTGAACATGTCCTTTGATGTCTCCATCCTCAAGGAATGGTGGTCTCCCACAGCCCAAAGGCTCTGAAAGAACGTGGGCAAAGACAAAGAAAGACTTCTTTCAGCATCATTGTAGTGTGACATTTACACCTGGAGTAACAGATGTTCTGATAGGGTTAGGGTTAATGAATTGCACACATTTGGAATGACTGGAAAGCTGAGACACATACTTCATGCCACCCCTGCAGAAGTCATTGCTCCACTTGAGCCACCTCAGTTAAAAAAGTCTGGAAATGCCCCGATACTGAAATAAATCCTACCTTCTACTCCTACTATAATATTCAAATCTTTTCAAACCCCTTTTAGAGAGATTTTAATTCAACTTTGTGGTAAAGTTGGTTTAATGTAAATACCAGGGACAATGTCTTAAGCTAGAGTCATTTGTATGAAACCTGAAACACTAAGGAGCACTAATAATGGATACTATATTCTAGGGCAGGATAGCTGGGTACACATAGCAAATCAGACCCTGAGATCTCAGTGCACCATGGGAAATCATCATTTCCCCAGATAAGGAGCAAGGTTGACATGGAAAAAACTGATTTACCCCCACAAGTTGGGAAGGGATGATTCCACTGTCCACCTGCTAAACATTCAATCACCGTATTCCCTCGGAGAATGTGTCCAGCCTGGCGACAAGCAAACCTTAAATGTTCTCCCGTTCCTAGTAGATTGTTTGGTGCGTAGATGCGTACAGTGTTGGGTACACCTGTGACTTTGCATTTGTCTGTTGTGAAGAAGAGAATCTGTTTCATCAAGAGGTTTATACAGTATAAACAGTAGCATATTAGACATAAAGATCTGATTTTTGGTGATGTATTCAAAATTTGTAACTTCACCTCTGTTTGCAATGTGTGTAAATTTCTACTTAATTGAATTATACAAGTCTTGATCTAGATCTTTATTTCAGCTGACATAGTGGAACATTTATCAGCAACCAAACAACCAAATGCTTTTGAGTTGGTGGGGACCAAAACAGAGTTCACCGCATCAACTTAAAACATAATAATCAAGTGTCAAAAAATAATAATTGCATTTAAAGCTCCAATAAGTAACTTAATTATTGTAAATAACAGCTTCAAAATCACTTTCATACTACACTGAGTTGTAATAGGGTGAATGGTGCTTCTGTCATTTCCACTCTGCGCCCCGTAGGGGAGAGGGGGGTAAGATGAGCCATTTTTCATATTTAGGATCACTACATCAAGGCAATCATAGTTTTGTCGCTAACTAATATATCTGCATATTTTTCAGGATGTTGTGCATCCCTTCAAACAAACAGAATGAGTGTAAACATAACTGTTTTGATAATATAGCATGTCCAAAAAAAACTTACCCCGTGTATGGGGTAAGTTGAGCATAGGAGCGGGGTAAGTGGAGCAGTATCCCTACTCCCTCCCCACCCTCCTCGCCACCTCCACCCCACCCCTTCCTCACCTTCTCCCTACCTAAATAACACTCACTTTTTCACATTCATGTGTATTTTATTTATTTGTAACAAGTACAATAACTTTTTTTATTATTATTGTACATTACTGCTAAACAGCTGTTTTGTGAAAAAACATTTTAACATGAGAATGCCTTAAAGTGTGCTTCGGAAGAGAACATTAACAGCTGTGTATTTGGAATATACACAGAATATGTTTTTGGATACACTTATTGAGTGTACTTTGGCTGTAGCCACCGGCTCAACTTACCCCTGGCCAAATGGCTCAACTTACCCCAGAGCTACCATTTTCACTTTATTAGTCCCCACAGCTAAAATGGTGCACTTTTATGCTAGGTTTATGAGCTCATGTTGTAGCTCATAGATACCACAACTGATGTATAAAACAAATTTAAAATGATCTATTTTGGTCTAAACACAATTCTCATGAAGCTTATGATAGACTAAATTCACTTTCAAGAGTGAAAAATGATTTTTTAGAAATCAATATCTAACCACTTTACCCATGTGGTTCTTACATTCACAGACTCCATGAAATGATGCCTTCCTCCTAAATATTTGGTCACATGATCAATGTTTTTTACCATTTCCTTGCAACAAGGGGTGGCTCAACTTACCCTTTGGCTCAACTTACCCCACTCTCCCCTACGCCTGTTCTATGTACCAACATATGTAATTTTGGCACTTGGGACAAGTGAGAAACGCTTTATGACAGCAGTCAAACACCACCAACCATGTCACTGATTTTTGTGAAACTGGATCATATTTTATGAAGAAAATGTTTTCTGATTTTCCTCCGATGTTCTCCAGTTGCTCCGCCTTAACTCTCTGTGATTTACAGATTTTCCTGATGGATGCTAATTAGTAAACTAACCCCCAAATTCCACCAGGTAGAGCTGTGACACCTTTCGAGTATGTCTCTTATCTCATGTCAACCATGAAATATTTGGATTTTGTCCTCTAATTGCCATCACTTTCTACTATTTCTATAAGTGGTACTGTGAATCTCTGTAACCCAAATATTGAAATGCGAACGTAAACGCGATAAACATCCAATGAGAGTGAATATACCAGCAACACATGTTGGAAAGGATGTATTCCACTGCCCAGTTTGCAAACATTTGACTTCTTCAGATCCATTCAGAGCATATTCATCGCTGCATCGAAACTGTAACTCATGTCCAGTCTTCATTGTTTCATTTGCTGGTGGTAGTCCAGCTACATAGAGATGACTGTGCATCACGCCAACTTTACAGGTGATATCTGAAAGAAATAAAACAGCTGAATGAAAAACTGTGAGGTTCAGTGGACTGGGCAAACAAATACAACAGGCAGGAAACACACAATGGAAGGAAGTGAAGGGATCTGAAATGAAAGGGAAAGGTAAATTCAAAGTTAAACAGGACAACAATCATGAACTTCAAAGTAAAACACATTGTGATGACTGATCCATGACAGTGGGTTTGGAGGCAGCGACCAAACAAGCTCTTCCTCACTGGTTTGAGTTGGGCAACGTGGAAAGTGGGGTGAATTCTCATGGACCTGGGAAGCTGGAGATGTACTGCCACATGTGACAAATTCCAAGGAAATGTTAGACCAGGGGAGATGCGGCACTGGAAGGGGATGTAGGAGACCTGGAAAAGGGGTCATGGGGGCTTGGTCTGAGCACACACTGAACATGCTGCCACATACTCTCCCACCTCCTTCTCCATAGACTGCCCCCAGAAACAAGATGAATGGTCCGCTGAATTCTGGGACAACAGAAGAGGTGGAAGGTATGGGCCCAGTGGATAACCTGTGAACTGTAATAGCATCCTGTACTTTATTTTCTATTCCCCAGGTTGCCACTCCTACCACACAAGAGAGAGGAATAACAATAGAAGGATTTTTGGAAGACCAATGCGAGTGAACATACCAGCAACACATGTTGGAAAGAGTGTATTCCACTGCCCAGTTTGCAAACATTCAACCTCTTCAGACCCGTTCAGAGCATATTCATCGCTGCATTGAAACCGTAACTTATGTCCAATCTTCATTCTTTCATATGCTGGTGGTAGTCCAGCTACATAGAGATGACTGTGCATCACGGCAACTTTACAGGAGAGGAGGTCTGGTAGGAATAAAACAGATATTATCAAATTAAATGAAATGATCGCAACAATTAATGCAAATTAACATTTTTATTTTTGCCTTAAGTTTTTTATTAATTATACAAAATAAATAAATAGTTACTTTTTGTTAAATTTTAACTTTCATCAGAACATGCATCGCAATTGTTTAGAAAAGCTGTCATAAAATCAATGCGCCCTAATCATGCCCACAAATATTAACACAGACCATCCATTACAGAGAAGTGTAAGAAGAAAATATAGCATTGACAGTATATATAATGGGCAGAGTTACCAGTACTGTGACCTGAAACCAATGCAAAAGTGTCTTAAACCTGCATTCTATGTAAAGGCCAGCAGGTGGCAGCTCTACTGGCTGCAATAAAAACTGATACCGCCCAGTCTTCTTCCTAATGAGTTTATGGTCTCAATCTCTAGTTTCATACAGAATGATGTTCATATAGTAAATGATGGTCCCATTTGATTAACAGGTCTTTCTCAGTGAGTCCGTCCAGCTCAACGCACCAAACTCAGATCAAACTAGGCAGTGCTGATCAAATATAAATCCAGATTGTTACTGCGTTGACTATTTCTAATGAGGCTTTCTCAATTCGGTTGACCGCTAACGTACATTAATCCTAATCTATTAAAATCCTAAGAATGGAGGTCACAGAAAAATACTTATAATATTTTATTTAATAAAAAATTACAAAAAAGGCAATTTAAACTGGAAAATGCGGTATGCCGTCACAGCATGAATATTTTTCAATTTTAAAATAAATTAGTTCTTCTTCTTTATTCTATGAGTACCATCTACAAATAAGATTCAGATTTTTTATTGGGAGCCATTCAGTGTTGGAACCATCAGAAATACAAATATTATATATTGCAAATATAACTTTGAATATAATTTAACCCCCCATAAACATAGGAGTCTTCCTCTACTCATTGCATACTGTATCCTCTATTAGCACAAACACTGTATCTCCACAACACTAAATCATAACATGTAATTAAAAGACTCTCACTTACCATTCTGTGATAAAGAAACTTCCACATTTCCCCACAGTTGGAGAACCATTAGGAGTACAGACAGTTTCATGATCCTTTGATAGACGCGTGTCCTGAGCGTGTTCGTGTTCGTTTGTCCCAAGTTTAAGTCCTCAGGCAGCAAAAAGGTTCCCAAAAGTTAGAAAAAACCTTTCTTCAAACAGTTTTGCTTTGGCATTATTATATTTGGCATTACATTTGGTTATGCCCACTAGCAATGTTTGTCCAATTCAGACGCAATGGGACGGTTGGGTGTACCGAGCACAGGACTTTGATACTGGAGTTTGTTTACCCTTCAGCTGGCTGTAGTGCTTTTACTTTGTAATGGAAGTTTAAACTGTACAGAAATACGTGGATATGACTACCAATAGATCCATCCACTGTCCTCTTCTGCTGGGAGACCTGTGCGGCTTGCGGTAACAATAGGCGAGACTTCGACTCTCTAGTGAATGTTGCTGAAGATGCAACTACGTCTTAAATCCCTCCAACAGACACATATTTTAGTGTACTATTAATCCGTTACAAGAACATGTGACTAGGCGAGCTGCCAATGTTTTCTGCTACGGATGAGTCCGAAGTAAGCACAGCTCAACTCACAGTACATCACCTGTTGCTGGCTCAAAAAACAACAACATGGAAACGGCCGTAATGCCAAACTTGAGGCTTTAAAACAATGTGTCTCAATGAGATTTCCTGTCTAAATAAAAGTTTGTAAAAAAACGAGCAATTCGTGATTTTCGTGATTCGTGAGTTCACTAACTCTCTAGGACTGAGTAATAAAATAATACTAACATGAACTTCTGCTCAACTGAAGGTTTTTACACTTTCAGAAAAGAAAATATAAAATACAGCTAAACAAGCACAACTTAAATTTTGAATTGTATTTATTGACTTTGTTTTACAGGTAATGGTGGAAGGTGCTGAGTGAGCAGAAGGCAGATCTTTTTACAGACTGAGCGTTGCTTTTTCTTCTCTGGGAGCTTTTCCTCAGAGACTTCAGGCTCTGGAATTTTTTAAGGAATCTGTCGTATAACAGTGATGGCCGCCTCCTCCAGTTCCTTCAGCTGTTTTTTCAGCTGAATGGTTTTTTTCTTGAGGGGCTAACAGACCTTCTGCTCAGTCCTGAGCTTGGCGGAAAAGCATGAGGTAGGTTGCAGTCAGTTCTAGGGGTGCGCGATAATTATCGGGCCGAAATGATTACGTCATAGTCCAATATCATGATGAATAGCCCCGATAAGCTATATCATTTTGTCAGCACAGCAGTGCCCCGCTCCCACTTTGAGACCTGAATGGCCTGCAGTGAATGCTGCATTCAAGTGATGTTGGCATAATCAGAAAAACTCTTTCTGACTGGGAAAATTCAAGAATACCCCCTCATGTCTGCAAAGAACTCGTTAACTCGGTCATAATTTTGGTAGTTGCTGACTTGATTTGATATCCACAGAATTTTTCCACATGTTACACATAACGAATAGAAACATGGACTTAAAAAGGCCGAAAGAACGACTAGCAAACGTGGGAACATGGAATTTCCGTCACAAAGTGAATGCAGCACAGTGTGCTTGGGTTTGAAAACAGACAACATGGCGTCGATTGTGTGGGACTTTTTCAAAGTTTCTGAAGAAGACAGGTCGCTTGTTATTTGTAACAAATGTTCCAAGCAAGTTCCACGAGGAGGTAAAAGAAAAAGGACGCCCAGGCTGCTAAAGACGCTAGCAACTTAAAGCCAGCCGCAAAGAAGCCACCGAACACACATCGGCGAGGCGTTCTAAAAATCCAAGAAATTTGCCAGAAATAATCCTGATGCATGAATTTGCATCAGTTCAAGGGGCCTTGCCAATAGTTTTGCATTGGAAAAAATAAATATCTCCATTTAAAGAGTCAAAAGTGTTTTTGGGTTTGTTCATAGTATTAATGTCATGATCATATATATATGTATATGTGTGTGTGTGTGTTATCGGTTATTGGTATCGGTTTAAAAAAAAAGTTATTGTGCATCCCTTGTCAGTTCTTTCAGTCTGTTTTTCAGGCTTTCCATCTCTTGACCGAAGGCGTCCTGCCCCTGGATCAGCTCCAGATCATCACCGTTTCAGCATGAGACTCTTTCAGCCTTGAGTTCTTGCTGTAGGATGTTGGTCCGTTGTTGCAACTGCTAAATTTGTTGCTGATGGCAGTCTTTTTATTGCTGTAACTGCTCAGTCAGCTCCTGTCTCAACATCCTCTCTTTTCCTTGGTTGCTTTTGAGATCCTCAACCTGTTTCCGCAGAGACTTGTTTGCTTCGGTCTCCAGCCTGGTAGAGAGCCTGCTGACCTTCTGCTCCTGACAGACAATGTGCTGTTCAGCCCTGTGGAGATGAGCCTTCAACACCACGACCTCTGGGTTCAGAGCAGCTGATTGGTCTGCTTGCTGACTGATAAATTCAGCTTGAAGCTCTTGGTGCTCTCTGTAGTTTTCCTTTGATCAACTTTTGCTGTCACTTTGTTGTCAGTGGACTGACGGTTGTCTTTGTTCAAGATTTTCTATTCGTCAATTGTGAAATATCTTAAAATTATGTTCTCTGAACAGTTTCTCCCTGTTATTTTGTTATTTTATTTATTCCTGTCACTCGCGTTGGAAGTGCTGCATATGGACGAGGAACGGTTGATTCATGAACTTGTCATTCAACTACAAAAACCTAAATAAGGTGGCAGCTGGCTGAAGGTCAATACTAATATCATCCAAGGATTTTTATAGTTTTCAATGAAGCAATAGTATTTCTTTAACCCGCAAATGTTGTAATCCAATCACTATAAAACATATAATCTAATTTAATTATTTGATATTCAAGCCTTTTTTCATGTTCCTCAAATTTAAAACACATTTTTCCTTGTGTTCGTGAAAACCAGATGTTTCATTCTTATCTTAGTAGGAATTTTCCCAACCACTTGTAAAATATTCTCTGACCTAAGAATAAAAAATAAGAAAACATCTCATAAATTGGTGGGTACTAACAAAAAAAGAACAGATCATGGATACGAACAAAAATAATAGAAAATGTGTTTGTTGATTGCTTAACAAATGGATTGATTCAAGTTGAGGAAACTTGTATTTAATTATAAAAACATCAAATATAGTTATATAGATTGTTTCAAGGAAAAGTTTTTCCCTCAGGGCCAGTACCAAAAGCAATGCTCCATTAAATTATAGTATATATAGTAATAGACTTGCTGATTTGTTCTGACTCTGGGGTTGGGGGGTTATGTAAGGATAGCTGAAACAGGTGCAGTAGGTAACGTAGATTCCCAGGGTAAAGGCTGGGCCGTGTGTGTGTGTGTGTGTGTGTCTGAATACTGTTCAATTTCGAGAGTATAAAAGCCATACGACACACTCAGGACAGTCCACTCTGAGGAATCATGATGAAAGTGGGTCTTGTCCTGCTGTTTGCTGCCTACGGTGAGTCTCATCTAGGTTATTTAAAAAGGGGGCTCTCTACCTGTACCACAGTTCTTTTGTATTTTTCTTTTCACAGAAACATTGACACGTTAGTCTGTCTCTCAGTACTTTCTGACTTCCCTACTTTGTCTGTGTCTCTCAGCCCCAAGCTCATTGGTTCCTCCTGAAGACAAAAAATCTTAAAAAACTCTGTAATATGTACTTTAATTTAAACAGTGGCAGATTAATCTACATTTGATGCTCTAGAACGGTGGTTCTCAACCCTTTTCCTTAAGGAACCCCTTTTCTATCACTGATCATGATGGATGGATCAAGCCTCTAATTTTTCTTTCTTCCTTTTATATGGCAGTGAGTTGAATCTTTAAAAGTGTTTTTGGAAACCCAAATACTGAGAAAAGTATGGAATGCTGAGGTAAAAAATGATTTAAGTGTCAGAGCTGAGCTGAATCTGCCTTTGTAACTTCCCCTCTCTCTCTGTGTGGCCCAGCTTACGGGTGTGGCACACCCATCCATAAGCCCCTGGGCCGTGTTGTCAACGGGGAAGATGCTGTTCCCTACAGCTGGCCCTGGCAGGTGAGTTGATAAGAATAAATGTGAAATGTATAGCAGTTCCCAAATCGTTATCACCTCATCTGTCATATCTCTTAATGTAGCTTTCTCTTTAAATTTGTCTGATTGTTTTATACCAGCAAACTCTTTCATATAATATACCCCCGTTTGAAATATCTTTTCTGCCAAGTACCCCCTGACCAGCGCAAAAAATATGTTTGCTATGTTAAAAAAGCTAATGTAAAGAGGTGCAGTACAGCGCTGCACCATCAGTGTGCACACATGCAAACAAACAGCACGGGATTAGTATAAAGTGGGCATGTCTGCAAAGGGGAGACTTGTGGGTAACCATAGAAACCCATTTTTTACTAAGATATCTTGAGGTCAGGTCAGGTTTTCAAATGGCCATGGAGCATTTTATATTGTATGTATGTATTGTATGTATTTAGCCCCCTTCCCGACATGCTAGCATGACGGACAATGGATGCGTTAGGTCATCTAGTTTTGTATGATACCAGGATCTACTCTAAAACAGAGCCCGCTACAGCCTCTGAAAAACAGCTTGGAGTGGAAGAGGGAAGGATAACAGGGTGGCACTTGGCCAATGCCACACCAGGCCCTGCCTCTGGATACGTCTCTGGTTTTCAGTGCTGCCATGTTTCAACCACAAATCCATTTTCTTAATTTTCATCAGTTAATATTAACCTGGCTTCCTGCTCACAGTCGACATCACTGTGAACGTGATTACGTTGAAACTGAGAATATTGAATATAAAATACAATTTATCCAACTTACATTTTGAACTTAATATAGTTTAAATATTTTAGGAATTATGCATGATTCATATTTTTTTGATTAACATTGTTCTTGTGTACCTCCTAAAGTACTCCAAAATACGCTCATTTCTCTAAACTATAATAACACAATAATAATAACACAGCTGCTTATAACAGGAATGCATAATAGTGTAAAAACATTTGACTAATTTTGACTTTTTGGTAGTAAATTCCTTTCAAAACAGATCAGGATCAAGACTCTAATAACTTTATTGATTAAATAACAGTTACTTAATACCTATAAGCAATGTTTGGCTCTAAAGCGTCTCTCTCTCTCGATGCGCCTCACAGATCTCTCTGCAGTATCTGAGCGGCTCCACGTACCGTCACACCTGTGGAGGCACTCTGCTCAGTCCCAACTGGGTCGTGACTGCTGGACACTGCATCGGGTGGGTCACGGATAACTTTCCTCCGGGTTTATCTCAAGAATG